AGTAGTAGTAGTAGTAGTAGTAGTAGTAGTAGTAGTAGTAGTAGTAGTAGCAGCAGGAGTAGTAGTAGTAGTAGTAGGAGGAGTAGTAGTAGTAGTAGTAATAGTAGTAGTAGTAGTAGGAGTAGTAGTAGGAGTAGTAGTAGGAGTAGGAGTAGGAGTAGGAGTAGTAGTAGGAGTAGGAGTAGTAGTAGTAGTAGTAGTAGTGACTTCTGGGGCATCCACGGAGAAGTCCCATCTCAAGGACCATGGGAGTCCCATCCCTCCACCATCAAGCACGTGAAACCATGCCAAGATGAATATGTTGCCACATTGGGACGAAGGGACATGGATAGTAGGATTCTCAACACTCTTGAGTTTTGATGTATGAACCATGATGAGCCAATCGTGCGTCAACTACTGCAGGATCCTACCAGTCAGTCAGGGAGGTTTGTGCTTACATCCAAATCCAGATTCAAAGTCAAAGCAAGGCCAACCATGTAGAAGCCCCGTAAACTGCCAGCACTTGTAGGCGAATGTAGGCGATGCACAAGGAATTCTTTCCAACGCAAGCAAACCAAAATCATTGCAGTGGTTTCAGAGTAGATAGCACAACCTCCTGAATGTCTTATAGATGGGGGTCTATATAAACCACTTGTTGGGGCTTGTGCCATCTAGTCTCTATCCACTACAGTGAGGCAATAAAGGAGCAGATGTTGGAAGATGAGGGATCTCTTGCTGCAAGCTGCCTGGATGTGCGTTTTGCCTTTCAACCAGTCCTACAATCAGCTGCCACTTCGATCCGCTCGATTCATCGATATAAACGGACAAGCGCCAATCCTTGGAAGTACTGGGTCATTCTCCGTGTCAAGGGGTGACGGATTTGGCAGCGGATCAAACGCATGGAGCCCTTCCCCACCCCTGTCCGTACTTTAATCGGGTTGTGAATGGTAGATGGGTTTTTAATGTTTTTATGGTCCGCATTCGGGGTGAAGACCCTTCAGTCACGGTGCCAGGAATGGTTCATGGAGAGAGATCGGCTTCAAGGAATTCGTGGAGCTTTGTGACATGAGGCCACAGCGTGACGGACTTGAGTTACCGGTCCTGTTGCACCTTCGGCTGACTCTCACACCATCCAGGGGTCTCTGAGGAGGTCGCTACCCCGAGTTGGTGGGACGTTCTGTGTGTAGATGATCTGGTCTCTTCAAGATGAGGACAATGGTGACATGTCTTAGACATGGACAGCTGATGTTTATCATTGTTTATTGCATCTCCTAGTATATTTGACTGTTGGCTCTTGTAGCATGTGCTCAGAATTGTGCAAACACCATGCACAATAGGTCCGTTCCATGATCAGGTATCAAGATGAGAACTGACACCAATGCGAGGCTGAGTCTCAAACTGTTTCAAGTGATTCGTATGAATGTGAGTTGGACCTCAAACCAGGATTCTAGACATTTCTAGATGACCACTCCAACTCATGGAGCCACCGCAGGTTGCACTCTGAGAAGTTGTACTTGAGAGCCTTCTTCCGGGATCGCTTGAGCCTCAGCATGCGACAGTGCTGGAGCGCCAGTCTGGCAGAGCAAATCGCGACATGTTAAAGGCCATTGAGGCACCTGGAGACTTTCAGCATAGTATTTAGTCGTGTTGTATCTCTTTTTTTGGTATGTCTCAAATTCAAAATTCCTCAATATGCATGCGCACATGCACATGGTTTATACATGTGTATACTATACATACTGTATATGTACACATCAAGACTTGACAAGAATTGCAGCATACTTGGGGTCATATGTTTCAATGACCTGTCCCAAGAAGTCGGGGCATTCATGTAAGAACCATCGTCGTTTTGCCCGCGACCTTCACTGAGGCTTCCGGGGTGCCAGCAGCAACTGCATCCAGCCACACTTGCGTGATGTGGCTGAAGCCTTGCAGGGAGTCAAGGTACGAAACTGGAGCTGGGTGGAGCAACAAATGCCGCGACAACGTATCATGAATCGATGCATGTTATTTATGTCCATCTACCTATCAATTTGTACAGCTGTATCTCTAAGATGTATAATGTATGCAAATAAAAATAGTAGATTGTATATATTGTACTGTGTATGTGTAGTTCTTCTGTTATCAGCCTACCTATCTATCAATCTATTTCTGTATATAATATATATATATATATATGTGTGTGTGTATTTTTTTGTTTGTCGCCGGCACCCTTTCCTCCCACATAGTCCGTCCAAGCAAGTTGAATCTACTTTGCCTGCCATGGAGACTTGCATAATATCATAGTGGCACCAGTTAGGACCTCATTGGTTGGGAGGGCAGTTTGGACACACTCCACCTGGAATCATTGGAGCATCACCACTTGGCACTAGGCACTAGTTGCTAGACCACGCAGCCAAGCATTTGCACACCTAAACAATATGTATATAGCATAGCTGGTGTTTCACACCTGGGTCTTGTCACATGCCAACGACTTCCTCCCTTTTGGTGCCAACTGCCGCCAGGTGCATGTCCGCCCCGAACAAGTGGAACGGATTGCCATGGACTTGGGCATCTGGGCGGCGATGAATTGAACATTTTGTTGGGTTGTTTTGGGAGCTGTGACCCAGCAGCTGCGTAGCTGATGGACCTTGAACTTGCCACCACAGCTGTGCATCTCACGCTTCCAAGGACGAAGCATGAACAATTATATGCTGTTAGTGTTCATGGACGTCGGCGCACGTCCAACAACTGGAACCTTAATGAACCTTAGTGACTAGTGCATTCCAAGGACACCCAGATTGCAGTAGCTCCGGCGTTTGTGCACACTGTAGGCTTGTTGGGTAATTATGGACTTGTATGCTCATGATTACTCTTTTACAACAGACCTTGCGCAGCATGCACAAGCTTTATGATTGAAGCATGCAACACCTTTCACAATATTTGTACATATAGTACCCAGTTTGATCCTGTTTGTCATTCAATGAGTAAAAACCACTGTTGATGTGACCTCTGTGAGCGGACTTGCCGGACCTTTGTCAGCGGGCTTGGCGATCGATCAGTCAGTTCCAGCAGCAGACTATGGTAGTAAAATGGTTCCATGATGTCCCATGTTCATCTTCATCTCTCAAAGCTGAGCCTCTCAGGTGCTGAGCTGTCATTTTGTTGAACCCTCTCCTGTTGAACCCTATAACCCATCTCAGGTTATGCCGTTTGGGCGGAATTTGTGACTTTGGTGCATGAGACGGACCTCTTCGTCCTAGCCCAGCGATGCCGGATGCTGGAGAAGCAGTTCGAAGCCCCAGCTGCGGCCTGACGCGGGCTGCACTTTGGGCCAGACGACACCAGAGATTTGATGTTCATGGCATCCAGTAATTACTACGCTGCTTGATCATTTCAAGAGGACCTTGAACTAAGCCTGGATATTTGGCACATTGGCAAGAGAGGGAACATGACACCAGGCTTTTGCAAGTCTCGAGTATTGGAGGGGGCCATGATGGGTTTGCTCTTCGTTTTTTGGAGGTAAGCTTTTGTGTTCCTCGAATGTCCAGAGTAGGTTTCATATTCTTGTGAGCACGCTGAGCTCACTGCACCTCACGCATGATTGGTGTGATCATTGGCATCTCGGAAGGCTTGGTGAAGCAGCCATGATCGCCTGCGCTTTTCATTCGGTGGGCGCACCGAGGCGTGCATGGGAAAGAGCTGGCTTTACCTTGCAGGAGGTGGCCTGGCTCAGCTTTGTCAGGACTTGTGTTGAATTGGTGAGCCCAGCTAAAGGTGTTTGCATAGATTCATTACTCACCGTGTCATGCTTGTACCCTAATGCTTCTCCCAATCTCGCCGGTTTGGTATGTTTGTGATGGTTACGGGTTTACGGCAAGTGAACTCGTTCCCAAAGCTGGGAATTGTTTCTCGTCCCTTGTGTTGGTGCTCTCATTTGGAGAGCCGAATCCCACTGGGTCCCTGTTGGCCATCCCACTCAAGGCGGGATCTGCTGGCGGCCAGGTCTCACGGTTTCAGCAACTCTTTGACCACTTTTTGGGCAGCGCCGGTCGAGGCAGGTGGACGTGGAGGGACGTCAAATGGAAGTCGGCCGTCTTCTTTGTGGTCATGAGTCGGGATGTGCAAGATCAGCTCAAACCACAAGCAGCTAAGCAGAGTGCGGTATGAACTACATTGAAATACCATGAGCTACCATCAAGTGTCCCGGCACTGGTGTTTTGGTGGTGAAGAAGCTCATCATTCTCCCCAAACATTATATTCCTACTGAACTAAGACATGTCATCCAACATCAAGCGGTTGCATATAGAATAGAAACCAGGATTGCACTTTTTTGCCAACATGAAGGCAAGCTGTAAGCTGTATGCTTCCAGGATTGATCACAATACTACCTCGGATCCCAGATACGGCCAGATACGCATTTGCTCTACCAATGGCTTCTGAAGTCACCTAGAACCATCTATAGAACCCCGACTTCACTTGGAAAGACTGGCCATTGGCGGGCCCCCGCCGCGCACACACACAAACCGAGCCCAAAGCCGTCCACGCACACACCCTCGCGAATCGCCCACGATTCTCAGGCCTGCGTGCAGAGGAGTTGCTATACATCGTCCACCAACTGGGGATGACCTCGCGCAGCCGTTCCGACGAGGCCGCCGCCGTTCACGCCACGACCGAGGACGCGATGGATTGATGTGCGAAAACGTGTGGTCCTTCGTGGACTGAGCAAGCAAACGCAAGGGTTCATAACAGTAGTTTTGAGTGGATCCTCCACTGAGCGGATTTGTCTTCCCTCATTAGTTCTTAAGAAGATAAAACATAGGGGAGAAGCAGAGATCTACTGATTCAATACTGCACGACGGGGATATCTCGCTCGGACGATCTTTGTTGTTGATTCATGCTCTCATGTGTGATTTATGCTATCAGTTTACTTGGACTCCAGTGCAGCCATCAAGCAGTCCCACATGAGAAGCTAGCTCACAGCAACTTGGCAGGCAGACATGACCGCAACGGCCTACAATGGGAAGGACCTATCTGAAACCATGTCCTTGGAGGAGTGTTTGCATTCTGCCAGGAGGCCAGTCGGATGGTGTTGCATCAAACCTATGCAGTGCGTCCTGATCTTTGGCAGTGCTCCAAGACAATGGCTCTTAAATTGGAAAGGTTTGTCTTTGGGATTGAGGGACCACTATGAGCTCAACACGTAAGGCTGACCTGAGTATGCATAATCCGCATCAAAATACTTTTATTCTATGGCTGCTTGTGGATAGAATTGGAAGTTGAGCACAGGCATTTCGTACGAAGACGGGATCTTATAGGTCACGTGGCCGGTCCGTTTGGAACCCTCATGCGTATTGATTTGAATGACTCAACGGACTGTTCGTGACCTGGTGAAGGGAAAGGCAGTTTGAGTGGTCTTCTGTGATGGGTGGTGGCTTCCCTTTAAAGATCCTGATATGAGCCACCTTGAAGACTTGTGTTTGTGTGGGAGCTACATGGCTACATAGGATGCAAAAGGATAATCATGGAATATCATGGATATAGAATGATATATATATATACTTTATTTTATATATACTGTATACCTAAAAATGTATAACAATACGCTCTAGGGACAAAGTGGTAGACATCCACCCAACAAACCCAACAAGCCTCGACAATTATGACCAATGACCCAACAAGGCAAATCCATGGAATTCCCCCCAACTTGGGGGAGTCCGGCTTCACCCGGACGTTCAGAAGACATCCGATCATCCAAGCCTTTGTTTTCGTGGACGTCCTCCGCCGACCTCCAGTTGTCGCCACATCAGTTGGCCCGACCCGTGCGCAAAGAGACTTGATGTTCATCCGCCTGCAGGTTCCTGGACAAGAAGGAGATGGATGCCCGTTCCAAGGAGTTGAGGTCAGCTGTTGCCACTGGGATTCCCGAGGACGAGCTGGATTACTTCCGGGCAGCCTGGCTGAATGGGCCCGGGGTCGTCCTTGCAAGGTGGTCGGCGTGGAGTTTTTTTGTTGCTTGGTATTGTCGAAATGGGTTTGTGTCACACGTTTCGACCACGTGTATGTATTGTGTGCGCAGCTTTGAAGAGAAGTCGGGTGTGGTTTTGTTGAACCTACTTGTATGCGCTTGTATGACTGTATGGCCATTTGGCATTGGGTAGTGGGGATTTGTTTGATACTAGTGCTTCTGTAGTCGCTTAGAACTTTCTGGGGTTGAGGGTTAACATTATCCAAGCCAAATCTCCTGCAAGAGGGTTTAGAGGTATTTTCCAAGTAACAAGACCATGGTTTGGCTGCGTTTGACGGAGGAGCACATTGGAGACAAAAACGTGAGGAAGTGAATTGAGGACAAAACAGTATTTTTTGAAATATACTGTTCTTTTTGTTTCGCACAGGCCTTCTACAAGCAACTCATTGCAGAGGATTCACAAGGTGCGGTGGGCAGCCTGTGATGTCCGGGAAGCCCATGTTCATGGCTTGGCCCACGATACAATTGAACAGTTCCTTTCAAGAGTTTATAGACATAGACATCATTTCTCTATATATAGAATGCCCAGCAAGTGATCCCGACCATCATTCACCTTGAGGAACAATCCAGTGCTTCTTTTCTCCTCAGTTGCCGGTTCGACCAGATTGGCGACTGGGCTGACCCGGACAGTATAATACAACATAATACAACTACAGTAACTATGGCGGTGTGTTTGGCAGTTTTGTCCTCTCACGCTGAACTTTGGGATCAGCTAATGGCGGTGTGTTTGGCAGTTTTGTCCTCTCACGCTGAACTTTGGGATCAGCTATAGACCGAGGGGAAACAGATGGTCTGATGGTCAAAGCGATACTTCTCAGACGATACGACGCCCATCCAAGCCGAGCGTGCGAAAGGGTGTCGTTTCAGATCTGATCAGGCAATCAGCGGGATTTCACTTACTTTGCTCTTTGCCGCGGCGTGCAAATCATGGGTGCGACCCTAACGGTGGAGAGGAATGCGGAGCTTGAACAGACTCTCAGGTCGCAGGATGAGTGAAAAAATGCTCACTGTTCACTTCATCATACAACTAATTAAGTGCATCTAATTGCACTTATAGTGGTCCCCAAATAGATAGAAATGGTTTCCAAGACATTTTTTGGGGGGATCGACTTTTCTACTTGATTTCAAGGTCTAAATGTTATTACACTTTGCACTCAACAGAAAACTTAAAACATAGACGCCAGAGAACTGGGCAAAAGAACATGATGGTTCCCAACTCTTGCGGCAAGAGGAGTGTCCTTCTTTTTCACACCAGAGATGATCAAAGTCAATGCCACTTGGTAAGGGGTTTGGGGTTTCAAGCCATCCGATGCCAACAAGAAAGTATTGCCTGTGATCCTGAGGATGTTCAAGGAGCATGCCGTTTATTCGGGCTTGTCGTCGCAGATGCTGCACTTACCTTTCCCGAAGCTTCTTGGTGGCAGACTCGTCAGACGGGCCATGGCGGTTTCATGGCCCATTTGTTGGTAGAGCGTGGTGGAGTATGCATTGCAGAAAGATATGTTGGACACGAACACGGCAAGTAGACACAACACAAAGGAACACTTGACATACACCCGGGAAGATTAACATGGAACCTGAACATGGACCTTTGGAAGACTAGTTTCCTTTACAATACAGTGGTTTTCAGGTTCCATGGTTGAATTGTCCAGGGTGTAAGACACAAAAAACACACACACATATATATATATATATTAAAAAATACAGCACGGAATATGCCAATCAACCTGCAGGTTCATCATGATGATTGGCACGCTTTTCAAGTTGGACTTCGCCAATGTGAGGCCAGTTTCCTGGTGGGCACCGCTTCAGGTATGGAACCCTAGGCCCTAGCATCCTGCGAACTGCAAGAATCATAGGATTCGGGAAACAGGTCAACACTAAAGCCACTATGTGTTGTTTTCTCTTGGAGGCGTTCTCATAGAGTATATGTCTTTCATTTTTCCATGGGGCCACACAAGCAATGTCAGCTGTCCGCGGATTTATTGATGAAGCCAAGGCTGATTCTGTACAAACGGGGGCTCACTTTCAGCGCCCCCACAACTTGTTGATAGGTTAACACGACCTGGAGCTGCAGTTTCAGTCTAGTGGCTTGTGTTTTTGCCATGTGGATATTCAGATTTAATCAATGCACATGATTGCGGCATTCAGAAAGACAACTCTATTTTGGAGCCTTGGTATCCTTGGTCAATCCAGGACGCATTCCACCCGCAAAGAGGAGGCGGGACCGTCCACATGCCATGCACAACTTGGAAGCTTGTTTTAAGGGTATGAAGTTCTATTGAGCATGTTGCGATGCTGCAGGTGCGGGCTGAACTTGTGCCGGTCCTATCATGTTTGTTTGTCCCAATTGAATTGACACGAACTATCGTGCCCGAATGTTTAGTTTACTGCGCTGAAGCGGCAATAGTTATAGTTGAGTGCTGCAGGATATTAAGGAAGATCTATGACACCCGCCAAGAGGGCTCTCTCAATGTAAATGGCTCCCATCTTTGCATTGTTTGTCTCCTGATGTAGTTTTGCAACTTAGCTTCAGACCTTACGGATCATTGACTGCACTCCCAAGAAAACTGCAGCAGCAGCAGCCGCATGCCCGAAAGGTATACAACTAAACTATACTTCTAGACTTCCCCCCTGCACCTTCCCTCCCGCAAGCATTGCTTCAGGAAAGACTCCTGCTTTGGAAAGAATCAGCTGCACAATGCAGCGGTCACGCCCTTTGCAAACCACAAATCAAACAACCTGACACCATTTTACCACCTGATGTTCTTCCGAAATCTATATTATAAAACACATATGATTTATGTCTTAAAACCTTGCCCCAGAAATGCAATCCCTTTCTGAAATATCCATCCCCTTTGTCCGCTGTCCCCTTCGCAGGACGTCCAGCTTCGCCGGGCCTCTGCCGGCAAGATCAAGACCGTGAGCTCCGTGACCATGGGCCGCTCAGCGGATTTTGGAACCCAAAGAAGGGAGACGTTGGACGACTTTGGATGATTTGGATCATTCATATTCATTTCACAGTCTCGGACTTTGGAAGACGTTTGAACACGTGTCAAACGGTTCAAAAGGTCCTCGGTCCTTTTTCCTCAGCGTTCTGGGCCAACTCCATGAACTGCCATGGTCAGACCGCAGCTCGCAGCGACCGAGGCAAATACTTGATGCGTGCACGCCATGGCGCCCGATGACGTCGTGGCACCGGTGCCCGGTGGATCGTCGTGACCGAGGTGGGCACGGCCAAGGTCGGAAGCGGCAAACGGGGTCCACCCTGGAGAATGACAACGACCGGTCGTGGCAGGGGTTCATCCCCTCCAAGGGGTGTTGAACTGGTGACAAGAGGCAAGAGGTGTCCATAATCCTGTTGGGGTGTCCAAATTAACACACACTGTAGGACTGTAGGAGGGTGCTTGCATTCTTGTGTGCGCTCTTTTTCGGACCCCTGCCACCCTGGCTAAGCCCACCTTCTTTTCCAATCAATTTGCAGCTGAGAATAGAAGTTTGCTACTGCCCCCGCCTCAGCAACCAGCCACTGAGATCAAGGTGATATCCCCAACAACCAGGACCTTCCAAGAGGTGTCTATAAATTCATAGCCTCTCAGAGGTGAAGGAGTGTTCAAAAACCACCTGTTGGAAGGTCCTGGAAGAAACCATTGATGACCTTCTTGGACACATTTGGCCACTTCACCCAACCTCCCCGGACACTGGAGGCGCCCGTGCGTCCTGAGCAACAGTCAGGATTCCAGTCCCAGACCACCTACTAGGTTCCGAGTTCCAACAAGTCTTTTGTACCGGATTCTATCTTGGACTGAGGGATTTGTAGCGCTTTGGAGTTGGGCTGGGCTTGTCAACTTGGCCGGCTGGCTTCCGCCAGGAAAGCGCCCTGAAGGGGCGCTAGGACCGGTAGGAGCGGGAAGCCGCAGATCATGGATGACGCCAGTTCGCAGTCGGCGGGTGTACAGTGTTCTCGTGATCTCAAGAACCGCGGACGACTAGGAACTCACTGACCGAGAAATCCCAAATTGGGTGCCACCAATCAGACACACTGACTGGTAGACTATTTCAGCAAATTGACCTTGCATAGTCCAACTGTTGCATGTACACAGGTTTCTTACGGGGCAATCTACATAATTGGCTGAAACTGACTCAACCCCTCGGATACGGCAGGGTTGAATTGGCCCTCTTGCAGATTTTGAGAGAGGTGGAATCCAGAATCTCGATGTGTTCGCACCTTTTTTCAGTACATTGCAGATTTCAGCACCACCCGCCAAAAAGACACGAGCTGGAGCGAGGAAGATTCCTTGTAAGCCGTCACTATGACAGTATCTATGCTGTATAGGGCCTATAGTGATGTAGTAACAAGACACTACTGGGGGCTCCTGGCCTTACTACTATAGGAGCATTCTTACTACTAGTAACGGATTCGTAGGCGTTTTCCCACGTCTTGGCGTCCGGCGCAGGGCGAACCCATTTTTTCGTCGCCCGAACCGACCCGAACAACACCTCACGCCGGGACCCACCCGGGTCGCCCAAGGCGTCCCCGGGGGGAACCGAGTTGGTGCGAACGAAGGGGGGCCGAAAAGGCTGCATTCGGTGCGAGGGGTCGGCGAGAGCCTACTGAGGGTGCCTTGAAAGGTTTGTTGGTGTGTTGTGGAAGAAGGCTTCGTAGGGGGGGACATGGGATATCATGGTGCCTATCATGGTCATATGAGGAATCATGGGGAATCCAAACATATTGAGATATATTGAGAAAGGCTTGTATCTGCAAGGCAGATATATATATATATAGTTCATTTGATATAAGCTCTAGCTGAGGGATGGGAGGAAGCCAGGTGCCAGTGTTTTTTGGTTCAGCGACTTCCTCCATTACTCAACAATATTCAACATATGACATAATATCATCACTTCGCACGAGACTGAATTGTTTTGGGCATTTGGATGGAGTAAAAAGTTCAGACCAGAGACCATGCCGGGCTGTCTTGAAGGGTTCGGGTTAATCATGGTTAATCCAATGGCATGGGCCAACCCTTTTGATTCAAAACAGCAAAATTCGGCCAGCATTGGAAAACCAGGCTCTTTCCTCTTTCTGGAGTGATGGTGTGCATCGAATTCGGAGAACTGACTGCATGTACGACGTTTCCCTCGCAGCGGAGAACTCGTGACAGGTCTCAGCCTACCGCTTGCCTTTGAAACGTGGGCAACCCCCAGGTGCTGCGCAGTGACAAGAGGGTTGTTTGATGTTGCTATGAAGGGAGAAGAGTGGCTGATGTCAAAGCAATCGCGTTGAGCAAACTGGAATTGCCTTCCTCGGGTATTTTTACTTGCTATAGCAATTATTATATATATATATATATGTTGCGGCCAAGTTGAATTTTGCCAAGATAACAATACAGCATAAGACCAAATTGCCAATGGTTCAATGGTGACAGTGCCCAGGGAGGCCCCGTGCTCTTTACTTTGCACCTGGCAGGGGCGTGGACGGATGGGCCACGTGTCCGAAGCGGGATGAGTTGACAAATGACCAACCCGACCAATTCCACTAACTCATTTGTTCAGGTGCCTTGAAACTTAAAACCACCAACAGGACTTTGTTGTTTTTGCTCTGCGATGTCATCCAGCCATGTCAGGAAGCAGCCATGGTTCTCGGCCTTTGGGCTAGGCGGCCCAGACACTTTCAGGGCTTCCCAGCTTGTGTTTGCCAGATGTCAGATTCAGATGTCCCAGAACACAGTGCGGCATACGGTCAACCGTATCTCTATATGTCCAAGGTTCAAAACACGTGATGATTATTTTAATAGGGCAGCCGCCTTGAGGTGTCATAAACCAGCAAAAACATGTGAGTAGCTATACCATAAATCATCAGTGATTTGCAACGATGCTGTGTGAACCGCAGCCGGTTTCCTTACCAATTATGCCGGATGGGATAGACAATTGGGAAGATAGATGACATCCTTGATTTTTCCTCATTGCCTAGCTGCTCTCGGCGATACTCTAGCGATACCCAACCAATACCCCAAGCGATACTCGAAATCCAGAAAAGTGACCATTTGCACACCGCCAGGCTACTTCTATTTCTACATACTACTACTACTGCTACTACTACTGCTACTGCTACTGCTACTACTACTACTACTGCTACTACTACTACTACTGCTACTGCTACTGCATACTACTACTACTACTACTACTGCTACTCGAAGCCTGTGCCTTTTGCAATGGGTTTGCGGCATGCGGCCGTACAGTCCAAACAGTCTTTCCCTTCGCAGAGCAGCACATTCTCTTCGTCTCGCCTCCGTTGCCTCGCGCGGCTATAGACAAAGAGGAGACCTTGCCTATCCCCCCGTCTATACCCCGAATCGCGCATATTATCAGACACCTCCAGCCCTTCCGTTGGAGAGTGCCCGGATCATGTTTTTGTAGAAGTGCAAGAAGAGGTATAGATGGTAGAGCAGCCTCTGCTCCCTTATGACCCGCCCGCGTGTGCAGAAGATCTTCGAGAAAGACTACGACAACAGGCACTACAAATACTGCAACTTCTTGCGCACCCACCTTCCGCAGGTGCTCTTTTGAGGCAATCCCCGCCAACGTGTGACAACATTGACCTATATCGCCAGGTAGTATCCCTCATACTACATATTACTACATCACCTTTTTACGTGGGGGGTACCTACTACTACTACTACCACTACTACTCCTCCTCCTGCCGCTGCTGCTGCTAGAACTACAGCAACAACGACAACAACAACAAAAACTACTACCACTACTTCTACGACTATTCCTAGCACTTTAACTGCTACTAACTACTAACTACTAACTTCTAACAACAACAACTACTACTCCTCCTGCTGCTGCTGCCAAAGGGCGACAAGTCAAAAAAATTGCCGGCGCTGTGTGTAGCGATGCCACCCTGGAAGGCGATACCCATGACTTCATCACACATAATGACTTTTGAACTTCGCGCATATACTCATGACCCCGTGTGTTGGTAGCACATGCCAGTACCAGATGTACAGTAGCATATTGCCAACAGTTTGTTAGCTTCTGTTCACAAATGCTGCTCAGCATTCCAAGTGGGTGCTGCAGTCAATGGGACGACGGGATTTCCTCACCGGCAAGCCATTTGAGGATTAAAGTCAACTATAGTCGGCTATCCAGCAAACATCGCAGTGAACCAAACCATCGGCTGTTTGGCGAAACCCAACTTTCAACCTTTCTCACATTTTGTCGCCAAGGTCTTGCGGGACATCAAGGGGATATCCTGTCGATGTGCGCTGGCACCCAGACAGAATGGGGACACGTTGAGGGTCGAGGCCCGAAACATTTTGTAACTTTTTGCCGGTAGTTTTTCCAAGCCTTTTGAACGAGGTCCGTCCTATACAGAATCACACTCCACCGGCGGCGGTGGAGGGCCTTTGCTTCTTACTGCAGGCTGGAAGAGGGTTGTCTGGTGGGTTAGTGCTGTTGAGCACACTCATACTGTACCCAATGCTTTATCGGTTTGCACTATACTGATAAGCACCCTCGCAGTGGTCGGCAACACAAATCATCAGAATGGATGATAAGGGACATGTTACATCGCGTTCGTCAAGATCGTACTGCTCCCAGGGATGTTGCAACTTTTGGGGGGTTTTGCTGCAACCCATCTCAAATGGCGCAGCCGTGCGGAATTGTCAGAATTCGACAGACTTACCAAGATGATCCGAACCACCATATTTTTTCATGTTTTGGGGGGACGTGTTGTTTGTTGTTTGGTCGCAAGGGCAACCAATGATTGAAAAGTTCGCGGGTCTATATAGGAACATGGATAATTACTGTAATTTGTTAAACCTCGAGATCTAAGCTACTGTTGGGTTTCTTCCAAGACTTCCAGGGACGCTACTGTTTTTGCAATCATTATTTTTCGCCAGCTGCAGACAGGCACTACGATGCCAAGATGATAGGAACTGCGGAACCCGGTTTGACAATACGGACCAGGCGAATCCTCATGAATCCTCAGTTATCAGTTCCCATTCACTTGGAACATCTTTGAACTCGGTTCCTACTGCATATTGGACTGCGCCATGCAAATGGCGTTTGAGCACTGAAGCCGGCTTCGCCCGCCTGATTCAGGCGATGATCGCACGGCGCGCCTCTGGGCACTTGCGGGGTGGGGCCACTCAGTCTCGGTGGAGCGGTTGAGCACGGAGAAAGGAGACCCGAGAAGGTGGGGAGACCACTGCATGTTCCAATAACAGAAAAATCAGAAGAGAGATTCACTTCAAATCATGTCAAATCTCCATGAAGATGCACCAACTGAATCCTCCCATGAACGGAACGAAAGCATGAATGTCCCTTTTCCATCATATGAAATCCGTTTCTGCGATCCCCAGATGCTAGAACTCTAGAACTTTGATGTATCCCATGTATCCGTGTCCAAGGCCCCATGCAGGTGCAGAGCTCATCCGCTTTGAGCGGCTGAAAGGGAGCCAGGCGCTGGGCCGGTTCTCTAGGTAACAGAAAAACACTATCCTACATCAGAGTTCCTTGTTGGCGAGCCCGCAAAGCACCACTTAGACTTGGGAGCTTCAACCAAGAGATACCAAGAGGGCATCGTTTCGGAGGGAACTCACCGTCGGATTCTCCGGACCCTTTACTTTTGAACAGATGGATCGGTCCAGAGTCACTAAGTCACTAATACAACTTTCAAGTTGGGTGACTAGCTTGGTAGGACTAGCGCGACAGTTGATTCCTCTAGGTTCGGGGTGTAATGCGTATCGCTCGTACTGGATTTGCTACATGTTGTATTTGTGCGCTGTCCACTCTCAAGCAACCGTGGCCTCGGCCCCAGCCGTCGTGAAACCGTCTCAAAGCATGGCGCGGCCGCGTAGCCGCAGCACACGGCGAAGCCGCCGCCCGCGCAGCGAGCCACGAGCCATTCCAGGGCAAGTCTTCCGACGTTTGGGGGATGGTCTAACAGGATTTTGTGCAAAGTTCTCACCAAAATGATGTTCAAGAGAGGGTCCAGAATCAGAGGACGTATCCTGATTTATCATGGGCTCAAACGCCGTAATTAATCGCAACGCCACAGATGAGACATGACGAGACTATCGAAGGATGGCTAAAATCTATGGAGCCTTGCTTGGTGATGTGTGATTATATATAATATATGCTTAAACATATATATAGTTATATATATACTTCTGTATGTATAAAACTATAAATGTAATATATAATATATATATAATTTCATTGATATATAATATGTTTTGTTTATGTTTTCCCTATTGTTTGATGTGTTCCAGGTCCCTCACACAACCCAGGATCACAAGAGTGCGGCATCCGAGTGAAGAGAGGACCAGATTGGAACAAGCGCGACCAGGATGGCGGAGGGCTAGGAACCTCCATGGGTGCGAGTTCTTATGGGCTTGGCTGGGTGAAAGTGAGATGGGACCACAATGCCAAGTGTCACAGATACCGAGTGGGTGCTGAAGGCAAGTACGACTTGATGGTTGCTAGATCTCAAGATCTTCAAGATGCCCGTCGATCTTCACCCTCCATCATCCAGGTGGAGGCGGAGCCCGAATGTGCTGCAGCTGAAAGCGGATCGCCTGAAAAGCTGGATGCTGATGCTGGCCATGACGAGCAGTGGCTGGATGCGGCCGAAGCCAATGGCTTGCTGTGCTCGATTTGCTTGTGCGTGGCACGGGATGCAATGGCCCACGACTGTGGAAACCTCTTCTGTCAAATCTGCTGGAACCGCTGGGTGTTGAAGGATCCCACCTGCCCTGTTTGCCGTGAGGATTCCAGCAGCGTTGTGAGGGCCCCGCGTGATCAACGGAAGATCCTGAATCTCATGCTCCGATGCCCCTTACAGTGTGGCGAAGACGTGCGTTTGGGCGACAAGCAGAGGCACGTCTCTGAACTTTGCCTCAAACGCAAGGTACGCTGCAGCCAATGTGGCCTGAGGATCCTAGCTGAGACGGTGTCAATTCACCAGAAGGACGGGTGGGTGGCACGCCGTCGAAGCGTCTGGTGTCTGGTGGATCGACGTCGAAGCTTCGTGTGGGGCGGGTCCAGCTGGTGACGGTTTCCACTCTTTCAATGGGCCGCTATATCAGCACCTGACCTGGAAAAACTTGGAAAAGGCCATAGCGTTTTGCCGCATAGGCTTTTTGGTGGTGAGGGATCAAAAGATTTGGTTCTCTTTTGGCCAAAGCAGGCATCTTTTTCGGCCTAAATGAAGTTGGGCAATGTTGGGCAGGAACTATGGCCTGACGATGCCTGACGACTGTTTTTAAGGGTGTTCAGTGTTCACCCACAACTGTCGGAGATGTCACAACTGCTACAAATTGATCATGTCTCAAAAAGTCCTGCAGGGCTGCAGGACTAATCATTTTTGTGGAGAACACATGTTTTCCTAGAGTGAGTTTGGCCTTTTCCCGGAGACGCGCCTCCCAATTCACAACTTGTCATGTGTTCCTTTTGGTGTGCCGCGCTTGAACTACGGGGAAGCGAGTGATACACTGGGTCAAAGGAGCCCACTGAACTTTGGGCCCACGCAGGAGGAGTGCAACTCTCGTCCGGTGATGTGCGAGATGTGTGGACAGATCGTGGCCATGGATAAGCTGGAGATTCACATGGTGGAAGATGCAAAATCACACATTTTGCCTTTGCTCAAGGAGAACCAATCTTTGAGGAGAAGGGTGGATGAGCTTGAGAAATTGATTCAGGTCAGGCCCCAAGAATTCCAATGATGTGAGAATTGACTTCATGCGTGGCACAATAACAGACCAAAAAATGGACAGGCGCTGAGCTCTTAGATCCTTTTTGCTGGGACTGGCCAGCAGTTGGTCTCAACGGCTTCACCTCTAAGATGACGGTCAAAGATCGTCCAAGCTTGACCATGACCGAATCTGCTTTGGGGTTGTGGCAGGTGTTGTTCCGGACATTGTGCCGAACATTGTTGCGCACGTTTCCAGAAAAAACACGGCCGGGTGGTAGAGCCACTTGAATCAATTCTATGCAATATTGACCCCCGGAAAGAAGACAGAATTGCAAGTGTCAGTCATGACTCTTGGCGATGAACTCGATCGCCCCACCTTTCTCGGAGGGCATGAGGATCCAGTCTAGCCAGAATTCCACCATTGGACTTCCTGAAACTGAAACGGGGGTGCTTGCTTTGTTTCGCACTCGTCCATGGCCTCGCATAATGTGGAGAACATACACCCAGGATGTGACGCGGATTGTATGATGGTTTGATGATGTTTGACGGACATTTAGAGGATTTTAGAGGACTCATCGCAATCATGAATCGTAGCTTCAGTTACTTGACTTATTTGTGTTAGTAAATAGTAACACTGCAATATATATCATATAATATATTATTGGGCAGCCAGTGGCACGGTGGTATGCAATGAATCTTAGGATATCTTAGGCCCTAAGAAAGAATTCTTCATCATTAGAGCAACCCCTGGATGAGAGCGCTGGCAACCGCCAAACACCAATTTTGGTACAGTGAAGAAGTTCTAGAGGCACACCACCACCTATCACCATCACTCTATAATATGGAAGACCGCAGAACAGTAAACCACATAGAGTAGCTTGATGCCAGTCGGAAGGAATGTATGGAAGTGGGAGAAACATGGAGAATCACCAGCATGCTCGTGCTCCCACAAAGCCGAAGTCCAGTTCGATGCTTTCGTGAACCTAGTCCCAAAGGACTGCATTTGGCATGGTCCAGCCATTCACAGGGTCAAAGGAGAGAACCCCAGTGCACCAGTGCGGGGACTTCGGCCAGGCTGTCTCATCTCTCGAGGAGAACCCGCTCTTCGAGCAAGTTCAGGCGGTCTCATATTCCAGTTGAGCGTGACTGGAAAATCTGGTGCAAAAGGGATGAAAGGCGATTCTGCATGATTCTGTTGGTTTCTTCAGGTTTTTGGGACTTGCTGGGGGCCATAGACCCTGCAATGTGAGACCCGTAGACCGGCAGCCAGATGCAGTCAGCAGTCTAGGCGGTTGCGTGTTGGTGGCAGGACGCGCAATTCCTTTGCCTGGATGGAGCGGTGGCACTGGCAACTGCCTCACGTTTGGCAGTGTACCGGTTTCAATTGCACCTGCAGGCGCACCCGCTCAGCATGCGGTCAGCAACGCTGCAGAACAACATGGAACAACCAGATGTGGTCCATTGTGTCCCTAGAAGGCACCAAATTCAACGTTTCATCAATGATATCAATGTTCCCAGCAGAGTTTGAGACTTAAAGCATCAAAACAAGAGTTTGTGATTCGGACATGTTCGGACCTGCCTTGGGTACACCGGGTTGAAATGAGCTTATTGTACTGTACATCATGCGTTTACAGTTGGATGTGGTGAGTGCCTGTGAGGATGGTTTTCACGTGCGTCACATGCGCCAGCTCGACTGCACCTTCCATCCTGCAGGATACCTCCGATGATATCAAGCGGCTCCAAAGGCGTCCATGGGCATCCACTCTGAACATCATCGCGCAGTTGCTGCAGTTTGCAGCTCCAGAAAATTTGTAGAATTTAGTGTGAGTGAACTCTTCTGAAGATGCGCACTCAAGGATGCCATTAAAAATCCTTGCCTTGCAGTCCATTGCATCCAAGGTAACAACTTTGTTGTGTGCCTTCAAGGGGGGGGGGGTAGGGCAGCACCAAAATGCATGTTTGTCCTTTTGATGTTCAGGACGCAGGTGTGTGCGTGTCGGTTTTGGCTCTTACCGGTGCAGGTTAGGTTCCTACAAATGCTGCGGACTTTTGACCCTGCCCAAAGAGCCAACGGCGGGGCAGAGTCTTGTGGCCATCGCCGCAAACAATGTCCGGGTCCAAGCGAACTGCCATGCACTGCATTTGGACATTGGTTGGGCACTTGGTTTTATTGTGCCAAGTGTTGATCCGGTTCGATCTATGCATGTTTTTGGAATGTGCATTGGATTGATGTGTTGCAAATCAAGGATCAGACATTTGGTGAAACACGTCAAAACTACATAAAACTACTATGAATCTATGATTAACCACTCAAATTGATGCGCACCATTGGATATTTTCCAACCCTGTCAGCACATTGACCATATTGACCATGTCAATCCATGTCATCATTTTCGAGAACTCTTGACTCGTTCTGGTGACATCCGATTCTTCGATCTCGCCATGAGCGAAGGGACCGTGGATGTGGATGAAACGGATGGAGCCCTACTGGGTCTTTGCGAGTATTGTGGTGAACTGAAGGTCCTTGACCAATTGGGTCGCTGTTCAACTCCGGAGGTGGAAGGCTCTCCGGTCCATTGCTACTCCTGCGGAGAGCCGAGCGAATTCTCCAGCAGCCAAGCTCGGAAGGGAAGCCATGCCCGCTGTGACGCGTGCATCGCCGCACGGCGCACGCAGCGCTTTAAGCCTTTCGAGCAGCTCGCACGACATGGAGAACCTGCCAGTCTCTTGCAAGCTGTAGAAGAGATCAATGAGGAGCAGGGTTGGGCTGGGATTCTGGTTGCCACCAGCTGCAGGGCTGTTGTATTTTGATGTTTGATTCGTTTGATGAATATTGATGAATGATGTTTATGTTTTCATGGTTTTCATAGCTAGAAATTACTAGTCATTATTGATGATTAATCTATATCAGCTTTATGTTTTATCATCATCTCGTTTTTGTCACTTGCCACACACACACATGTTCCGCATGTCACTGCTCGACCTTCTCGACCGGCTGTGGCTGGGCAAACACACTGATCCGAGGAGTTGGTCATGACGCTCTTGGAGGAAGGCATTGAGGTCGACCAAGTTCGCCAGCGGAAGGTCCGGGCGGATTCCACCGGCCTCATTTGGCGGCCGGTGTACAGCTCCGACGGTCGGCCGGTGCCGGAAGAGGATCCGTCGCTGGGAAGAGCAGATGTGATATACTTTGCTTTATGGATTTGAGTCATCGATGGGTGCAGGGGTCGCTATTTGGGTTCAAAGCACACGTTGATAGATTTATGTTGTATTCTTTTGACTAAATGAACAGATCTCCACTGTCGTTGCAGGTACCAGCCCACGACTCCACTGAAGATGGTCGTTTTCCGGCTCTCGGATTGCATGCTGGATGAAGCTGCTCGGATGAGGCTGGTGAAGATCGCTCAAGCTTTACTGGAGCATGGAGCACCCCGAGAATCGGCCAGGCTTTTATTTGAAAGTCGCTATGGGCCGCCTGAACCCGAACCCGGTGATGAGATGAACGCATACACACATCTCTATACGCTTCTCAGCGCATAAATGCATTTTCATGCGATTTCAGTTGCAGGACGTTGCGGGGATGTGAAGCATGTTTCCGCGCACCTCAAGTTGTCCATCGACATGATGCCATCAACATGAGGGAGCGTCACGGTGACACTGCGCAAGAGGCGGCTCCCCTTCAGCACGTTCATTCAGTTAATGTACGTGGCCCTGTCTCCATGAATCCAGCTTTTTGGAGAATGGATCATTCGGACCGTGAAGGAACGCGGTGGCCCGGCCAGTTCATGAGAAGACACACGGACCTGGCCTCATCTCTCTCCTCCCGGAAGGCCGGGAAGTTCACCGACTCTGAAGCGGATCAGTGATGGAATCGATAAAGCGGGCTGGAAATACTCACTATGACATCTATGACTCACTTGTCCACCTAAAAGATGATGTTTGCTGTTTGCCAACCAGTGGAAACATGAGTCTATGAGTGAGCTTGCCTCATTTGAGTGTCTCATACTGCTCAACTAGACATGTTGCTCCGATTTGATGTTTGTACCGGGAATCCATAGACAGGCACTCTATATGTTTGGTGTGTGTTTGTGCAATTGTCACGTATAATATGATATATAAAGCTGTGAATACGATTCTCTGACACAAGGGTTTCGAACAAGCCAATCGGATCCATCGTTTGTTGCCACTCAACGGACAAGCTCTTGGTACTTGAAGCAAGACATGTCTCCCGCAATCGGACTCGGTGAGAGGACACCCGCACTCGGTGATTGGAGTTGGCTCTAGGAGAAAGGGACAAAAGAAATGAAGAGACGTGACAGCAAATGAATGCGACAGCAATGATTCAGAGATGTGACATACTTGTAGGACTACTTGTAGGCTGGGACTCTTTGTCTGGCATGTTTAGCACAGGGTTTCGTTTTCTCCTTCTTTGCGAGCTTGTTTTTTTTCTTACTTCTAAGGCCGTACTCTCAGGCACCGTGTTGGTACGGATGCCAAGGTGTCTGGACCAGGGAGAGTGAGGTTGGTGACTGTACTAGATTACGCTTACGGAGATAGCATCATAGAGCCTGACAGAGTTGTGTGAATGCAGCTGGACCCAATGTATACCTGCTGTAAGCAAAGAGCTTTGTCCAGGGCAGGCGCTCACAAGTCCATGATAAGAGGATGTTCATCCTTGGATATCTTTCAAGAATCAAGATGTTTGTTGATTTGCTCACAAGTCCATGAAATCTATTGAACATCATTGAAATCCATAATGTTTCACGGTTGATCTCAAGTCATATCAAATCTACAGTTGGGTCGGCCCCCACCCTCCCATCAATGACCATGATTTCAGAACTGATTGATTCAATATCTCCGTCACTGCGTCGGCCCCTAGGTTCTGGACGTGTCGAATTTGATGTTCATCCAAGCCCAATCCAAACCCTGAGTTGATCAGGACATTTGATAAGCAAGATACTGAGATTCCCCTTGCTTACAAGCATGTTCCGGGGATCTCTACTTCTTCGGCGCAGCGGGTGCAGCCCCTTTTGGAGACTGGCCATGCTCACGGGTGGCGCGTTACCGTGTCCTTTGTGGGCCTTCGAGGTGGCTTCGTCCAGCAAGCGTGTCTATGTGTGGGACGTGGCGGCTGAGAAGGTGCCGTCGTCAACGGCGGTACGATCGATGGTACGATCGGGGCCGAGTTGTCTCTCTAAAAGGATGAAGCGACCTCTCCACCTGGACGGAGAGAACGAGAAACAAAGGCATGGCCGCCATACTCAGATCTGTATAGTGTAGGATAATGATGGATAATGTAGGTAGGGCCAGGGCATAGAATATTTGAGATGTGTTTGGTTTGGGTGGTTGATTGAAGACATGATTTGAGATATGATGTGGGAAATGTCACTGGAGTCTTCTGCCAGATGGACGACGTTTCACGGTGGGCATCTTGGAGCTCGTGCCTTTTGGACTGGCAAAGAACCCATCAGCACTGGGTTGTCAAGTATTTGATGAGGTGGTGTTCCAGTATTTTTTCCAATTGCCATGCATGGAATAGATCGCAAAGGCATACAACTTTGTTGATTTGACAAGAAGGTCACAGAAGAGAAAACAACTCACTGATGTTTTGTCACTAGCGGCTGATGATGAGACCATGTGGGCCCTTGTTTTTTGGTCCGATGATCGTCAAGTTTGCAGCTGTTGCTGCATGCCCTAGGGGACACACTGTTTTTTTCAGGCACTAAAGATCGAGTATCCGCGTGTAATCAGGCCTTTCAGTGTTCAAGAATCGCACGTTTTGAAACCCTGATCTTTGCCATTTACCTTCCGTCCAACAAACATGGAAGGGAAGCATAGTCCCAACAGGAAGACTGTTTTCCTCTAACAGCTTGTGTACACTATAGTATACACTGTATTACTAGTACTGTATTCCACTTCCATGATCGTTTCAGGGAGGGTAGCCCTCTTGTCAGAGTGTGTTTTTCTCCGATGGAACCACACGCTTCCATGGGCCGTTGCTCCATGTGCTGTGCTGACGTGTCGCCAGGTGCTGGCGGCGGTGAACACCCACTCAAGGCCTTTGACTTGCTTACGCCTCGCACAGCCCGGGACACCGAGACGTGGGCAGAAGACACGGCGACGGATGGGCGGTTGCGGCGGACGGCGGTTCGGCAGGGCGAACGTTGGAGAAAGAGGACTGATACCTCTCCCAGTTCATGGGCTCAATCATGTAATTCCCAGATTCAGCCCAATAACCTCCAATAATCCATGGCCATGGTTTCCACCATCTCGTGATGTCTCAGACTTTTTCAGTGTCCACCCAACTTGGGAGGACTCGTGACGTCTCCATCTCTGAGGCCTGCCAGCTGGGCCTCAGCGTCCATGGACGTGTTTTACACAGCGGCTTTGGATGGGATCATCAAGCTGTGGGATCTCCGCTCCATGCAGGACATGATGCCATGCCTTGATGCGTTTTTGGGCGGGGCCAGCGTGGGAGAAGGAGGAGATACAATTGACATGTAGCATAAAGAACACATTGACAACAAGAAGAACACACATTTTTGTGTGGCATGAAGAGCAATTGTGCGAAGGCCTCTCTCAAACTAATTTGGCTTTTGTTTGCTGTGTTTTTTGATCAAATCAGAGGCAGATGTGTTCTGGGATGCTATGCTGGCATGGTCCTCCACTGGGAAGGTGTCCCCCATCAAGTGCCATGTAAAGATACGGCTCGAAGCTGAAAGAAAGAGTCATTGCACACCGAGTCTGCATTCCTCCCACAAAGAACCAGCACGTCCGGTGGCCAAAAGGCATGAAGTCAGACAAAAAGCTGCTTGAGGAAGAAAGTAGGTCCTGCTGGGACCTCCAGCCATGCCACTGACGGTTCTTGGTGGAACATATTCGGCCACGAAAAGGGATCGAAGTTGCTGACCCTCCAAACCCACCCTGTCGACACGTTCACAGTTCACAGGTGGTTGAAACATGTTGAAACCCTAGGGGACAGGAGGTGTTTGTGGCAAATTAAAAAAAAAACAATTGAGGAGGATGCGAACCAAGAGGTAGATTCACACAATGGTGTGGATGCCATGAACCATGACGTACCTAATGAGAAAATGGTGCGGTAACTAGTGAGGCGGACAACGCCTTTTGGAGATGCCGGGATGAGTCATTTTTTGAGTGAATGATTTGGAAATTCCGGAATCCTACGGCACTGTTGCTCCAAGACTTTTCGTGGTAGCTGTGCCGAAAAGGAGTGTCGATCTTTCCGTGGTGGTCCCAACCTTAGCCAGATGCATGATGCTTGCATGTGGATTTATCGTTGGCTGCGAGGTTGACAAACCATCCCAATGCTGAAATATACTGAACTGAAACCCCGATTGATCAGATACCCTGGATCTACTTGCAGAATCCTTTGACAAAAAACTTGGCCAGTGGAAAAGAATCACGTTTCTGGTGGCTTTTCATCAAAAGCAGAACATGTTCAAGATTGGCTGAGTCTCCAAGCATGCCGACTAGGGCAGTCTGCTTTACTTTCCTCGATGGAAGCCTCTGAGTATTTTGAGCAATGTTGCCTGATGTTGCGTTCTCCATTGCATCGCTTTAGAGGTTCAGACTGCTTTTACCTTTGGACTTCTGCAGTACGTAGTTCTGTATTGACCAATCTGACGCTTTGCCCAAGCTCATCCTCAGGCCATATCCATTCCGCACAGCGTACACGCTGCAGGCACTCCGCACATCTGAGTTGTTTGACAGGGATGGTTTTGAGATCCATGGGAACGGATGGTGCCAGGCACGGGTTTGAAGACCTGGCCTGGGTCCGGTTATCAGGTTTGGATCAATTTGCAATGGCAGTTTCAAGTCAATCAGGACGTTCCAGTGAGAGGCTTTGAGGAGATCCTGAGTCAGATTCGAAAAATCCTCTTCGACAGCATCCTTTTCGCTTTCTGTTTCACGCCACTCTTCCCAGCGCAGACCGCAGGTTAAGCCCATGCTTGCGCTACTTGGGCGCTCCCTCAGAGGATGGTTCGGTGTGCGCCCGGCTCCAAAGACGGCACCGGCGAGGAACGGCAGCCCTGTGGATTGTAAGAAACACTGCTGGAAGGATCCGGAGGTTCTAGATAGTTAAAAGCGTTGGAAGTACCTCATAGCCACCATAGTCACGATAGTGGCAGCTTGATCCCTTGGTACAATGACTTCATATGACTTCCACGTTGGATGCCTTGTGTACACGGCGGGGCCGCATTGGGTGTGCGATCGTGTGCGTTCAAACAAAAGGCCCACACCCCCATGAAGCTTCAATTGAGATCAAAGCTTTGGGCCCAGCTGCGGGATGCTCGAACGATCTCGGACGTCACCATTCCATCGCTGGATTGGTTGCGTCCTCCATGTTTCCGAGCACCAGTCAGACTCAGACCAGCATATTGGAAGAGGAACTGCCAGGACCTTCAAAGTGACCTCTTTGGAGTCTCTAAGTGACCTCTTTAGTTCGGGACTAAGACTAAGTGACGTCTCAAAAGGTCACTTTGAAGGTCCTGGTGGTTAGTATGGCCTTTTTTCTCAACACTTCCGCCCAGCAAACAGATCGTCCAGGTCTACGATGTCCGCACGGGGCACGTCTTGGGCTCCAAGCATTGCCACCGGGTGAGAGACTCGTGGGACGGTGAGAGACTCGTGAGCGCGTGGAAGTGGATGGAAAAAAGCATGTTAACCAAGCACATTAACGCACAAATAAATACCCATGGAACCTCGCCTAGGTTCGATGTTCCATGGTTCCCAAGTGCAGGTTCCTTGGTCCATGAAGAATGCTGGTTAGGTGTGTGTGTGTGGTGTTTTTGGGTTCCAACAATGTTGAACATAAACATCACTTGCTGGTTTTGGTTGTGAAAGCACTGGCTAACTCATCAAAAGCTAAGGTGTTTGGGATGCATGTGGGCCCTAAGGAACCAGAAGGCTGAGAATCGCAGCCATAACGTACCCTGCTTGCGCAGGCGTGCAGTATGTTCCATGATCGTCCATGATTGACTCGTTCCAGAAAGAGAGGCATGAGTCATGAGTCATGAGCACGAGGAATTAGGAGCCACTGGCATCCCAGACCTACACTGAGCTTCTGTGTAAACATGCATTGCCAAGTACAATTTGCCAAAGGATTGACTAAGACAAGCTCAAACCTTGGAAGATGTTGCAAGGATCCTCAATAATTCTTTCGCAACAGGATTCCAAAACGGGTTCTTGGACAGAAAGACCTGATTCTCAATGCTCGCCTAAGCCCTACTTGGTCCCCTCCCTAATTCCGAATACACTTTGGTTGAAGGGGCGAGCTTCCAAAGCTTTGTGTGCACACCTTTTCCCAACACCAGAGAATTGATGTGGGGAAAACATGATGGGAAGACCCAAAGAAAAAGGGTGAATGGTTTCTGGCAGCATGTCGCCAATTCATATCTAATCAGAGAAAACCTCTCAAGCCGACTCTAAACCGGACTTCTTTCATCCGCTTTCTTTGGTGCATGAATCCACGCATCAGAATGCCCATCATCTCGTTTCACTCCAAGAAATATCAAAAGGTGTTTTACTGGCACGATCCCGCCAGGGCCGTGCCAAAGATCCAATCGGCCAGAAAACTCTTTCTTCCTGAATGTTTGACAGGACAGAAATGCCTCGGAAAAAACCCAGGTTTACGAATGTGTTGGGTTTGTCCTAGTACCTTGGGGTAATGTAGAAGCATCGTGCGCCTCGTGCAGCTAGGATGCCTGCGTGTCGGTGGACGTGCAGCCGCGCACGGGCTCCATGGTGAGCTGCGGCTTTGACGGCATGGTGCGCCCACCGCGGACCACCGCGGACGGTCCGGTGGAACGGGAGTGGGTGGGTCGGGCCTGCTGAGGCGCCCGAAGACTGTGGTGGTTTTTGGAAAGGTCTGAAGTGGAAGAGGGAAAGAGGATGGTGCGTACATGGTATTTGAATATGATGGTCGATCCATCGACTCAGGAACGATCATAGTATGCAACATCCATTGGGCTTGAAACCAGACACAGAATATGCCCCGTGGATACACAAGACATCACAAAACTCTTCAAACGCTTTTCTGAGATGGTGCTTACAATCGTGCAAAAAGAATCTCGCAATACTCATCCCGGACTCATCCCCATTTCCCCGTGTTCTTTCAAGTCATGAGTCATAGGACTGCCCGAACTCACCGCCGTTCATCGTCCGGGCCCGACCGGGCGACGGCAGGTGCAGTTCTTCCGGTCACCCCGACCTGCAGGCCGTGTTGTCCGGAGCTTCCGGTATTGCACAAGCGGGAGCATTTCGATTCGAGGTGGTTTCTGGGTTCTTCCGCAATTGTGTGGCCGTTGGGCTCAAGTCTGGATGGAATACGAAATTTGTGCTGATTGACATTGACATCGACTGCGAAAGTGCAGCTTGGATGCCGGCTGTCTCAAATTTGCAGGCAGAGTCACCGTAAATTGGGCTGAAAACATACATGACGATTCAAGGGACTTCCAAATCTTCCAAAGATTTGACAAAGACCTACCAGGATCATTCAATTCAATCAAGATCCTAATATATATTTATATCAGGTCATGTAGGGGTAGTCTATTGGTGACCCGTTCGAACGAATTACCTAGTGGTATATATATATAGGAAAGACATGGAAGAATGAAGAATGTCGGTCCATCAATTTAAACGTTCCAACGTTCCCACCGACGGCATCGATGGACGGACGACTCGTTCGACTCGTTCCCCGTCTTCGAGTGGGTGGGCCTCCGTTTGACCGTCGCATGGTTTGAACCGAGCGCTCTCCGTCGCATGTGAGGAGAGTCCGGAGTCACTGAGTCACTCTCTGTGTTTTTTTTGGGGGGCGAGGGTTCCGTTTTGGCTTGGACACCTTGGAAGGATTTCGGTCCAACAAACTCCCTGAAGAGGTGTAGTTGGATCCAACTATATCAGATCCAGTCAGGATTGACTGTTTAAGAACAGGTTTGGACACTGTTGAGGGAAAGCGGTCATTACTGGTACAAGAAATCAATCTATATGTATACTATACACTCCCTGAATTAATCATGGAAGTGGAACACCACCTGTTTGTAGAGGAACATGGTCTTTCCAGATTTCCAGGGGTCATTGTCCAAGTTTTTTTCCACTTCCATGGATTGTTTCAGGGATATCATATACACCTCGTATACCTGGCTCAGCCACTGACGATCCTGTTGTAACCCAACTGACGCCAGGCCGAGTCCACCCCAATGATTGGAGTGGAGGGTGATTACGTGGCTCCGGCAGCGCGTGACACCTACTTCGAGAATGAGCCCAATCTCATCGCCCCCTTTGACTTCGACTACGCGGCTGGGCGCCTGCAAAACTGTTTGGTGTTTGGTGTTTTGTGATGCTGTTACCACAAAGGCTGAGACTGCTGTGAACTGGCTGACCATAGAGTTGGACAGATGACCAGACCAAGGGAACAACGAGGAAACCTGTGCAGGCTAAGCGGCTGTAAGCAGATGCTCCTGTGCGGATATGGGTGTGTGAAGAGGGACTCCTTCTTGAATTATGTTTTCCCAGTGCCTTCGCAGCCAAGGACTTAATTGTCGACTTCACCGCAAAGCTGAGACTCGTCTTTTTTAATTTGCCGTGTAACACACCCCATGCTCCAAAGTAGTTGCTATATTGCCAATCATGAACGAAATAAGAACCATCAGAAGCGTGTCGTGCTTCGTGTCCCGGGTGTTTTCGTGTCCCAGCCACCCTATCACATCCAATGCGGCAGATGTTTGGGTCACCTTGGTACCCAGACACCCAGACACGACCTGGGCCATGGGACTGTCATATTGACCGATCAGGTGAGGGGTGGTGGACCAGGGGGGTCTGTTTGGGGCGGCAGCCCTATGGCAGTCCCACTGGTCGTGTTTGGGCTTGTACCCTGGCGAGCACATGGGTTACTTGCCAGGAAAAAGCGAGTCTCGGGTCTCACGGATGTGGATTGTTAGTCACGGCTGAGTGTGGCACGCCTGGGGAGTCGGATTTGGCTCACTGGAATGGAGTCCCACATGGTTTAAACAACACATGCCACCTATGGCACAAGGGATGACGACAACCTGGTGGTTAACACCCACCTCAACCACCTATGATCCTCAACCATTTATCACCCACATGCTGGTGGTTCATAGAGACATATAGAGTCGAGACCCTTGAACCTCGGGCTCATGACTGGACACCCTCTATGACTCGATGGCCAGATGGCTTAGGCCGTTCCTGCGGATTCGGGATGGGTGTAGTCACTACACGAGCTCCCTGACTCGCTAGTCCTTCATATCTTTGCTTCTCGGACTCCGTGGATGTCCATTCTCCGTGTACCAGGAGAATGGCGCAGATGGCCCTCTTGCCGCCCCTGTGGATTTCTTGCTGTTGCTGCTATCCATGCTTCTTGCAGACGCTCGGAGAAGTCGTTGGTCCTGGCGAGTCGGACCTAGGTGGAGGGGCCCGGCTGCATGCTGCCGGGGTTCTGCAGGACCAGTGGACGTTTTTGGAAGCGAAACACAAAGAACTGCAGGTGTTTGGCAGGTGTTGTTGGAATGTGGTTAGCTTTTGGCAGGTGTTCCTGTGATTGCACGGGAGACTGTCACCACAACTGTTCTCCACTTTGGTATTCACTAGGACAAGTGTCACCGTGTTTTTTCCCAAACAATTGCTCACTGTTTTGCGGAACCAGCATGGTAATCGCCATGGTGATCGCAGAATCGACTCGATGTGGTCAGTGCCTCTGCAAACAGCTTACGATGTGCCGGCTTCCTCTACAAAGGAGTCCCGACCAGTGACCCTGTATATGCCGCCACCTGTTGGTGACCTCGGTCTATCAGGCAAGCTTTTGGAACAAGCAGGTTAGTGGTTGGAGCTTTGTTTTTTTTCCCCTGTAAATTACGGTGCAAACAGAGTTGAACCCAGTAGGTTTCTCCAAATGCCGCTGAGCATTTTCTGCCCCACCCAAAGCATTTGCTGCTACAAAAACCGTTTGCAGGCACTAAAGTGAAACATGTACGTACCGCATGCTCTTCGTGAAAGTTGCCCAGCGTAAATTGGCCAAACATCACTTAGTTGCTTTGTTTTGTTGTGGTGGTTTGAAAGTGGGGATTTATCCAAAGTTTGTTCCGACCAGATTGAAAAGAACGCCTGGAAGAACTGAAGATCCAAGCATTAGTCAAAGTATACAAAAAATGAGCAACAACACTGAGCACAAAGAAACGCCATGTCTATTTAGCTGCTACTTTAGCTGCTTTGTTTGCATGTATGATCATATGAGTGATCATATGTTACATGGTAGGATGTTATAGGTTGGTATAGCGTTGGAAGTCGTGATGTCAATCAATGATGTTTGCCTTATTGTTTGAACAAACATGGTAAGAAGGAGAGTGTGGAACATGATGATCCTCTACCACTGCTAGAATATAGGTTTCTAGTGCTTGGATTATTTGTTTGATTAGCAGCCCCACAATTTATCGAATCTATTTCAACATTTTGTGTGAGTAGTGTGGACGGATGTTGATTTAGATTCAAGATTTGTTGCTGCTTGGACGTGTTTTCCAATCCTTTGGAACGTTTTGCATGAGGAAGAATGTGGAATGGGACACACGATCTCAGCACGTGGCCTTGACCATTGATGGCATCCGGCCTACTGGGCTGCAGACCCAGTTAGTGCATTGGTCCTGAGGTGGTTAGGCCATGGGTTCTGGAGATGGATAGGGAAGGGTCCTCAATACTTCTGTGTGGCTTCAGCTGCCCTTTCAACATCTGCAATCACAAGACAATGACACAAAACAATGAGACAAAGAACTTCTCCGATTTCTTCCGCTCGCTAGAGGAAAATCCTTTTTTTTGTTTCAGTCAAAGCGGGCGTGTCGCCCGAGACTCCACTTTGGACCGGTAGAATCTTGGCATCCACATGTTGAAAGCAGCCATTGATATCCAGTGCGGGTTGGTCAGTTGATGCAGATGTATATGTGAACTCGTTAACTGTGTTTTTCCCAGTATACTCAACATTAATCGCCCTGTTACGATCTCGAACGAGCGTTCCATAGCTGTGATCATATAGCATCATACAGTCCGATGATGTCCGATGTTTTCCTGTGATGAACACGAACTGCAAAACGATCGGGTCACTGGGTCACAGCAGATCGGCGGGTCACCGGGTCACTGGGTCACTGGCTCCATCGCACCAAGGTATGTGAAGGAAAGAAGGAAGACCTGTTGTGGACTGCCTTGTACTGACAAGGGCAGGGAAAGCAAGACGGTTCCCTACGACAAGATTACCGACTGCGACGTGCAGGAGATCAGACTTTTTGGCATGGGCATACACCTTGTTGATTGATATTAATTGTAACTATAAGGATGAAGCATGTTCAATGCACCCTTTTGTTAACGGTGCCATTGCCATCCATTGCAGCGTGCAAAGAACCGTCTATAGGTCCCTTAAACTGCTTTCAACCGATCAAAGAGTCTAGTGTCGGTTCCTGGAGACAGCTCGCCGCTACCTGCAACCTGTGCGGCCAGCTACAGCTGCAGTCATATGCGTGAGGAGCCAGCTGGAACTGCGTGCTGCTGTTGCATCGAGACTCTCAGCTTTCAAGCGGTTTTACTATGCTGTGGAAGAATTTTGGGAACCAAGTGATCCCCGTTTGCCCTCCAGGGTTGCTGTTACTCGTATTTTTGTTTTACATGTTTATCCAGTTATAGTTCCATGCGAACATGTGCAATAACCACCTTGAGCACGTTGACGACCCCCAACCCCCAACCCCCTCGGCTGAAACAGGGTGTGACTGACCTGAAACCTCAAGCAACGAAGCGGTCTCAGAGACCTCAGAAGTGTGTCCAAAAAGAACCGATGAAGGAATCCAACCGCTTTGGAATGGAACTGATGTCATCAGATCTGTGAAAAGTGATGACAAACACTGCTACTTTGCGATGAATCCAACTCCTTTGGGATGGCTATGGCATGCGTGTCACTCAGGAATGTGCTGTCGATGGTCCATATTGACACTGCCTCCAGCGAGGTGGGTGGTGAGGGTGGCGCGGCTCGGTGCAAATGTGGAAGTGTGGAGATGGGTGTGTTTTGCAACTGGGAGTCTTCGAGCGAAGAAACATAGACTGACTCAGACTGACTATATAAACCCAACCAGCAAGCCATGCAACCCATAGTTCAGCCACCATTGGGACGCCCAGAAAGACGCCGTCACGTCCGCCCGGACCGGGCCGTCACGTCCGCCCTATCCGTGGCCTGAGGTGAAGCATGAGTTGGAGCTTCATGGTCTTGTAGATGCACATGCCTTCAAGCATTCCGTGGCTCGACCGCTCAGTTGACTCTGAGGGTTTGGGGCCGGTCGACCGGGTTGGGGCCGGTCGCCGGTCGAGACATGGCCGGGAACGAATGGGACATGGGACTCGTGTGGGGTTGCGTATCGAGTTTGGGAAACGCCATTTTTGAAAAATGTCATCTATGGGGAATGTTCATGAAGGTTCCTACAGCAATTATAGAATTATATAAAAGAAAGCATTAACTGATTAACATATGATCCGGATTTGCAGGATTTCAGTCTATTAATGTGCTTTGAGGATTTGAATGGAGAGTGGGAGGAGGGATGAGCAGTGAAAGCTCTCGTTTCTTCGGGCGACCTGGACCGGACTGGTGACCAACCAATTCAATCCTATTTAAATTTAAACCATAGAGTCATGTTCTTTTTGTACCTAGATGTTTGTTCTGAGAAAGAATCAGTTGAAGAAGTCCAACAAATGACGGACACATCAACATCAACTCCACCATGTGCTTTGGTTGGCGGTCCGAGTCCATGGAATTTTGGATGGTGGGTCGAGGGCCGAGGGAGCTCTAGGTCTAGAGTCGCCAGGAGAGTTCTTCGTCACATTCCATTGAGAGGTTTCCGACCCGATCGCTTTGCAGGGCATGTTGTTTCCTGGTTTCTATTCGAGTTGATCAACTTTCGATCATTTAGCATCATTTAGCCCACATCCACCCAATGCGTTTCAGGGTGATTCGGAGCATGAGTTTTACCATGTTTTACAGAATGAAGAGCTAAACAATAGTTATATATAATATATTGTAATATAACAGATTGCTGCCGTTTTGGACTTGAACTCCGACTTCAAGCGCTTCTCACCAACATTGTTCACCTGCCAGATCGGCCCCCTATAATGGCACTTGTCTCCCTTCTTCATGGCCCGACAGGTGTGGGCCATGAAACGTCGTGTGGCCCCCAGTGGCGCCAATGTGCCCATGCAGACTGGACGGCCACTGAGCTCCCCCAGTCAGATGGAGATGCACACGGCTCTACTCACGGACGCTTGGGTCGGCCTGCTTGGGTGTGCCTGCCAGGTGTTGTGCCAGGTCGATGAAGCGGCCCAAGCTTGGCCAAGAAAACTGCCAGAGGTCTCTACTCCCACTTACCACGCATGATCACTGGGGATTAAACAGGGGGGTGACTGGCTTATGGATCCTGTCATAAAATACGAGAGAGACTGTTGTGGATCCTTTCGCTTGTGGAAACTGTTGAAATCTAGAGAGAGAGGGAGAGCTCACTGAGCTCACATTGGCAAATGGGTTATCCACATGCGCATCCACCGCATGCACTGGTCACTGGTCCGTTCTCCACGTTCGCACTGATGGATTCACCAAACTGAGGGGATCTACAGTATGTATACTCAGTATGAATCAGTATGACCACTAGAGAGTTCCTAATCTGGACTGGGTTTCAGCAGCCAAAAAGCTCAGGAGATCAGAGATGAACTGAAGCTTTTGAATCAGAAGATGGATAAGAAATGACAGAAGGCCACATTTCTGCACTGCAAACCACACTGCTTTCCAGCTTCCGAGAGATTGGGTCTACCCACAAGACCGTCTACTGACTCAGAGCTCTCAGAGTCTCTTCCAGTGTGTTGCAGGCAGAGTGGTTGTGTATATATCTTTGCCGTTCGAACTTTGCGGCCGTTTGTGGCCTGTGTTTGAAAGCTCAGTTGCAGCAGTTGCTTCCTCATCAGCCATTTGGAGTACTTGGCTCAGGCAAGTGGGGGACAAAAACGCGCTACTGGTGGCAAGCTTGAAGCGGGTTGATTGGCTCATGTTGGCGACTTTCCTGTTTTCTAGCTGGCACATTCAATTGCTACTGGCACGTTGTGGTCTTGCAGAAGCAACACATGGAGACCAACGTATTGGGAACGTAATTGGACATGTGGTACAGTACAGTACTATATTATGTACCAATGACTTAGGACTTGTTGGTACCAATGACATCCAATGACACGGGTATCCTATGTCAGTGGCGGGTAGTATATGTATGTTGATATGCTCGCGCTGCGATTGTATCAGATATGCCCTGCTGGAATGACACTGCGTTGCTTTCTTGAGCGGCTACAGAGGCTCAAAGCCATCATCGTGTTTGTTGTTTCTCGTTATTTGAAAGGGAAGCAAGGAACATGTTGCTGAAATATTTGGCTCAAGCAAAGAGCACGTGTTTAGCACATTTTAGCACGCTATATCTGTTTCTGTGCGCTTTCACCACTCGCCTCCACTTGGCAGTCCGTGCAGGCGTGGCCGGATCGCTGGTCGGATCCGCTTCACGAAGACCCGGTCGCCCAGACGATCGGTGGGCGCAAATAAGGTAAGCGGCCAAAGAAACAGGGGTGGATGGTTTTTGGGGTGGTGAATTGGGGTGGTGGTCCCAATTAAGGAGCCCCTAGTAGCGTCCTTGCTCCTAGTAGCGATGTCCTTTGCTCCTGGTAGCTTCTTGCTCCTAGTAGTGATGCCAGGAGCCCCTAGTAGCGATGCCCCTGCTCCTAATAGCCGTTTGTTCCTAGTAGCTTCTTGCTCGCGGTGGATTGTTTTTGGGGAGGTGAATTGGGGTGGTGGTCCCATTGAACGCTATGGATCCTCTTTCGGAAGGCTGTTCTCGAGCATCCGTCGAGTCGAGTAACCTCGCGACAGGTACCGAGACGCGACAGGGACGCGCAGCGATATCTCATCATGGTGGGCTTCTTTTGTGTGTGTGTGTGTGTTGTTGGTCAAATCAACGGTTTGCATGTTTTTTGTGCAGCTAAGGGGTGGTTTATGATGGGATTCCCTTCATTCATATAACAAGTTCTTGGCGGGATTTCATGTCCCCTGGCACTGCATGGATCCCTTCTGGATCTTCAGCTGTCACACGTAGCAATTTCAAAAGGTGAGGAAGTTCTCTCGCATTTGGTTGCAGAGACGAGAACATTAACGGCTACTATAGCCAATAGCTGTAACTAGCTGGTGCTTTGGAGCATCCATTCGGCCAAAAAGGGAGGCAGGGGGAGCTACAGGGAGTTGATGGGAGTTTCTTCACCACTTGCTTAGAGAGGCTCGGTGATTTCATGGCGTGTTGTGTCCCTGACACGGCAGGCTTGTGTCCACGCCGATGGCAACAGTGGAGGGTGATTACGTGGCTCCGGCGGCGCGTGACACCTACTTCCAGAATGAGCCCAATCTCATCGCCCCCTTTGACTTCGACTACGCGCCGTGCCTACAAAGTGTGTGTGTGTGTTAGCGTAAAGACACCATCTATGTGGAAGAAGATCATGTCCTTTCTGTGTTTAACCCTCTCATTTTGTTACGTGCTTTCATGCCATGCACTGCCTTTCCGCTTTGGTCACATGTTTCTTGACCTGTTTTTGTTTCCCACTATCGTCCCACGCCACGAACTACTTTTTTTTTCTTTTTGACGGCGGTACCCGAAGACACATGGACGGTTTTTTGACGCCAGCAGACAGACACCCTGGTTGTAAAACACTCGGATTTTCTCCGACATTCTCCGAGGGTCCTTGTTTCGGTTGACTCACCTGGCACTCAAAGAGGCACCATCCCTTTTTGGCAGCCTCTCCACTCGGTGTTTCGGTGGGCCAAGGACCGGATTATCGAGTTTACCACACAGCTGACCCTTGGTACGATTTGAATGGCCGCTTCGGGGATGGTGTGTGCCAATGGGCCAAGTCGGATATGGACGAGTTCGGAGGTAGAACGAGATCTACCGATCTACCCAGATATGTTCAACCTGCCTAAACCATCCCAAAGCTCTTTAGCTCTTAAATTAAAGTGTGTATTTTGATGTATTTTGATTTGGGTGTAGATTTGCGTGATTTAGGTTTGTGTTTTGAAAGCTTTTGTTAATGACAGCGAAGTCGCCAAACTAAACTGGCCACTTGATCGGAGCCTTTTTGTCGGTGGGGGCCAAATACCTGGAAAGTGGAGTGCTTGGATCACAAACCAGCTGCGTAGCTGATTCGTACCGAACATTCCCCTGAGCCGCCGTGGATTCGAGATGTCTTGAGAGTTGCATGCAATCTACACTAGTTAAACGTCCATTCCATGCCTGGCCAGCAGTCCGGACTTCCTCGATCGGTGAAACGCGGAGTAAGCCTACCCAGAGAATGGGCTGTGCCTGGCTTTGACCCCTTTAAGAGATGCAACAAACACATTGACGTAACATGGAGAACGGGCGCACGTCGAATGCCTGAAGTCGAATGCGCATGGCCAGGAGAATGGCGCAGGTGGCGTTCCTGCCGTGCATGTGGTTCTCTGTATGTTGCTGCTATCCATGTTACTTGAAGAAGCTGTGCTGAAGGAGGGCGACTGGAATGGTCAGCGAGATTGGCATTTGCGATGGGAACATTTATGGCTATACAAAAGAAAAGCACACTTCTAGGGACCATGGCAGCCTAGTTGTTTAAAGGTCAAAGCTCTTGCAGATACATGATATATCTGAGCAAGCTGATCAACATGCTAACCAGGCTCGTGGATGCCAACCGTCCCTGCTCCCATAAAGAAGATGAGCATTAGTGACATGCTGCAGAAGTTGCTTTTAAGTTTTGAGTGAAAAAATATGCCGCATGAAAGTCTGTGCATGTTTGTGCGCTTGTTGAAAGGCTCAGCACGCCTTGATCAGGCTTGAAGAGGGCACTTGATCTTTTGTTTTCTGAGGCAAAACGTGGAATGGGACACGCGATCTCAACACGTGGCCTTGACCATTGATGGCATCCGGCCCACTTGGCAGCATTATAATGCATTATATAACCCCAAGTCCCAAGCGAACAAGTTTTCCGTGCAAAGCACAACACGATGTGCAAACCAGCTGCAGATGCAGATGCATATATGTGGTGTTGGTACAGTTGCGATCATTCTGCAACATTCAAGACTGTCTATGGTCTTTTACAAGGACCCCATGCCTGTTGCCAGACTCCAAACTGACTCTCATGACATGATGTTCACATATCAAAGCATGTCCAACGGGACTTTTGGCTGGATGTGTGTCAATTCCGCTTCGGAATGGATCTCCGATTCCACCGCAGTGGCTCCATCGCACCAAGGTTTGTGAAGGAAAGGAGGAAGACCTGCTGTGGACTGTCTTGCACCGACCAGGGCAGAGAAAGCAAGACGGTCCCCTACGACAAGATTACCGATTGTGACGTGCAGGTGATGACCGGGGAGGTAGATGTTCTGGGCCACCGGGGAGGTCAGCTTTCTTCAGCGAAAATCACCGTCGCCGCTTTGTTGTTGAGCTGTTGCAAACCACCGGTGACCAGGGGAGAGACGTTGTGGCTGCTCGGAGGAAACGCACACGTTGCAACCTTGGCGCGAAAGAAAGGGGCCTCGTAGCACGGCCAGATGATGTGTACGAGGTGTTTTGTGTAAAGTTGGATGACACATCAGCTGACATGCGCTGAGATGACACTGGAACTGATGGTTGGAGCCACCAGGAGCCAGCAGGAACTGCTTGCTGCTGTTGCATCGAGCCCCTTGGCTCAGTATGGTGTACGGAAGTTTTCAAAACCTTGCTGTCGGATTCAGTGCATGTCTTTCTGGAGGAACCAAAGACTGCGAAAGACATGCTGAAAATCTGGGCAAGGCCCGGGCAAGGCCCGTAGGAAGGAAGAGAACTGGGCGGACCTTCCAGGGGCCATACAAGATCTGACAGATGATGTGTTCGATTCATGTGAAGCAAGGTGCCCTTAAAATCTGGTGATTATGATGGGAGACGATCAATAGGATCTCAACGTTTGGGTGCCAAATGAGTTCCTATCCGGGCTTTCAGACCAGGTTTGCCCTTTCTGAGCCCACGAAGACGTGCAGACGTCGTTTGCTTCTTCTCCGAGGAGAGTGCTGTCCACGGTCAACGTGGACACGGCATCAAGCGGGCCGACGGACGGCGGCGCCCTTCGGTGAGCGATTTGGATCATGCTCCGTCCAATGACCGATGCCGTGCCCAAATGACCGCTAGATGTAGGGAATTTCGGATGCTCAAAAAATCAGCATTCTATTCAAGTTACTTCCACTCACCCTCAGAATCCGGATCGAGCACATAGGATTTGGTGCGGGCCCGGACCCCTGCTATGGAGGGTCTGATCGCTGCCACGGAGGGCCCAAGGAGTCTTAGGGCAACTCAAATCAATTCATGCTATGTCATAATTCATTCATTGTGGGTGGACCTTTCCGTCGTTCCGACCAGATCTGTCATATCTCCATGGCCCAAGATTCCATCATATTCCATCATATTCCCAATTCTCACCTCCGTGAGTCTGTAGGGGCCGGTAGGAAGGCCTCAACATGTCCCAACCTGTTCAATTCGAGAGGCACCGGTTCAGGGTTTGCCTGAACCACCGGCTTCAGGCCGCTTCCTAGGATATAACGAAGAGAGACTCTAAGCTGTTGCTCATGTTCACCAACCCATCCATTGCAACTTCATGAGAAGCTAAACTTGACATTAGCCATTTGTCAAGGTCATTTGCTGTAAAACTTTTAGAACCCCGAGTCTGCGGGCAGGTGGTGTTTTCTGAACACTATTGACTATTGCAATGATCATCATTAGCCGAAAACCATGGAAGGGAACTATTTTGGGCCAATTGCTGCCAACTGAGCTTCAGCTCGGAGCTTCACTCAGGTGAGGCATGAGTTGGTGCTTCATGGCCTTGTAGATGCACATGCGTTCAAGCATTCTGTGGCTCAGTTGAAGACGATGTGCCGTTATTTTACGTTGAGTTGTGTTTGATTATGGTTTTTGAATCTCGCACGGTGGTGTTGCATGGTGTGTATGTTTGAGATTGTTTGAGAAGGTCTAGAGTCTAGACTCACCATGGTAATCCCATTGAATCTCCTGTACCTGCTAGAGTTGGAGATGCCCAGGTCGATGGCTTTCAATCTACTCAACTACCCCCGTCCTTTGTTCAAAGGGCAGTTTGGTCGTTTTGCTGTAAGTTTTTTTGTTTTCCTGAAGGGAGAAGGATTGGCGATCAATCCATCTACAAGGCCTTTTTTTGAGAAAATATCACAAACAACACTAAAGAAAGACACAATCCTTTGTGACATAGGGTTTTTGCTTCAAGAACGCGGGATTGCTTGGTAATGTTTGACTCAATTCAATGGCCTTGATTGAGGTTTGGGCCATGAAACGCCGCCTGGCGGGCACCACAGGCGCTGTGCAGACCTCAATGCCTGTGAGCTCGCCAGTTCAGCTGGAGATGCAGCGCATGGCGCCTAAGAACGACCTGCACACGGCATTGCTGACAGACGCCTGGTAGTGATTTCCCCCCGGCATGGATTGTGAAACCTTTTGTAGGGGGTTCAAATATCATCAAGAGTCAAGGAACACGTGGCGTGAAGTATGGAGACCCTACGATTGTTGGGGTTCTTTTTCTCCCAGACATTGACAATCCCAAGCCTTGGGGCACAAACAGGGGGATCTCCCATATATCTTATCATCCTATTGCAACCTCCCTGAAGTAAAGGATATTCTTTTTCGGATCTAATCAATAGGCCATGTCTAAAACAGTCGACGGGACTCCCAGGGAGCCCAGATCGGAGAAATGGATGGGCCTGAACCCCATGCGGTGCCCCCCGTCGGTGCCCCCCGTCAGTCGGGTGGCAAAACTGTTTCGGACCACCGTGAGTCCGACAGTCCACCACCCAACGGACCCACAGTCCGACACTCCAAACAGCCCGACCGGTCCCTCAAAACCTAGGGATTGGTTCGAAACCCCACACCCCTCTATATGAGGGTCCGACCCCTCCATAATATGAGGATCCGTCAGCGTTTGGGTTGTTTATCTTTATCTTTGTCGTGTGATGTGAACACATGCTCCATTCATGTTCCTTAACAATCCTTCCTCAGTCGACGGTCGACGGGGCTTCGGATGTTGGAACCCACAGATGTGGGCTTAGCTGCCGGACGAGTGCACGGGACGAGCGGACAAAAACAAAACACCACTGCAATAGAAAGGGCCACTGTGGCGCCATGGTTGTTTACTGAAGAATTCCACCGTCAAGCTCAGGAAATCAGAGATGAACTGAAGCTAATGAACCAGAAGATGGATCGATGATTGGCTGTGCACCGCTTGGACCAACTCCCAAGTCTAACAAACTGGGTCGGCTCGCTTTCTTTGCTCAAAGCAGGACTGCAACCCGTCGACCCAGAACCCTGGTTCTCATATCATAAGGATCCAGTCGGATCTATAGAGAAGGTATATATATACATATAGTACGCAAATTTATTATAGAAGATATTACAACATATTTTCAAATCGAAGTCTGCATATTCCTCCCGTGGCAGGGTTCCGGGCAATTTCTTCTATAATAGAATCATGTACTATATATATATAATTATAAGACGCTGAACATCCCTGGATAAACTGTCCATGACGGTTCTCGTGTTTGTGTTGGGACAAACTTCAGCGGGTTCACAGCGAACGGCGAACGAATGGTTGTCCTTCCTGGGCATTGCCCACTCTGCCCATCACAAAGTGATAGGGGAGCGGAGAAAGGCATCGAAACGTTTCATTCTTGGCATGATCGAAGAGAGGTAAGCTACGGAGATTCGGAGGTCCTAAGAAAGCAGAAAGCATATCACAATGTTATCTTACTTAGCCAATCTTAGCTACAAATAAACTACTAGTATGTACAGTAAAGCATTATTATTGTAGAAGAGTAAAGACAATGACTCTGATTGGAAACTATTGAATCTGTTTTTCGCCCTTTAATAATACTTTAAATGCTTTGTCATACTTTCCCACTTTTCATACTTTCGCTTCGTTCATTGCCAAGCAACAAGACTGACCCTTATGGCTCCGAACATGACCCCGCTGCCCGCCAGCTATCGCTGCTTGACGTAGATGAAACTGAGAGTGCAAGGGGTGTGTTTGGTTCAACGAGAAGAGTTTTGTTCAAGATGTTCAAGTTCTGCGGCATAGCCTGCAGTCATGGCGTGACCTGCAAAAGTGGCGTTTCAACCAAGCACAGCGTTTATCCCTGTTCCTTTCACACCGTGCATGTTTATGTAACATGGATATCATGATTTTTGACTACAAACGATTCCCATGCTGCACAGCCATTGGAATGACTTTTTAACCACCTTCCCAGAAAATGCCCCTAGCTGGGCACAGTAGCGAAAGTGGACTTTCTTTCTCGGATTTGTCCTGCCCAACCACAACTAACATGTTTCCCTGAGGACACCCCCCTTTGACCCTGCATGGACCCTGAAAAAAAATATTGACTGGTGATCCGTTCTTTTTCTTGCTGTGGGGGCTAGTTTTTGGCTCAAGTCCAGCACGGTCCGGTTTGCACAATTGGTCTTTAGGGTTTCTCTCGTGTGCCGCGACTATGGCCATGCAGGCAGGGCTGCAAGAACTTTAATTACTCTCCCTGGAACTAACACGGAAGTGGAAAACCACCTGTTTGTATTGGAAAATGGTCTTCGAAGGGGCCATTCTCCACTTTGTTTGTTCCAGGGAGTGTATGTATGGCGAAGGGAGTCACTGCCACAACTAAGTATTAAACCATCAGCTGGACTGTATTTCTCCCTGCTAAAACGAAGGTTCCTTTTGACGATGTTCAAGACTGGTTCGCTTGTCAGGACATAGTTTGCAGTGGGTCGAACCTCATGGGTACGTGTAAAGGACAAGGACTCAACCTGTAGTCCTCGTCCAATGACCGATCAAACCGGTGAAATTTGTTGGACTCAATTGCCACCAACCTTTTTCCACATCCATTTGCCTGCAATATGCGAGGCTCAATCTATCACATCTGTCATTGGAGTGGAGAGTGAATGCGTTGCTCCAAAAGCGCATGACACCTACTTTGCCAATGAGCCAAATCTAATTGCTCCCTTCGACTTCAACTATGCTCCTTGGTCCCGAGCTATAGTTCAATGGTGTACAAGTTGTTTTGGTTTGTTTAGGACATGAAGATTCGTGCTTTGTTTATGTATGTTTAATGTTAACTGTTATCCGTTTAGGGATTTCTGGTCGTTTTGGGTTTTAGGGTGACATGACAAATGGCACCCCCGCTACAACCAACTAAATTCGCTGCGAGACCCGTGCGATCAGTTTTTGCTCAGTCCACTCCTACTGCCCCATGGATCAATCGAGACGAAATTAAAATTGTGTCTTTTGTGGATATCCCCCCGCAGCTGAAAGAATCGGCGTAACTAGCTGGTTTGGTGAGCTGGGGGTTCCCCCCGCAACTAGCTGAATCTGCACAGTCCGGTTATTGTCGTGTGGTGGTTGATACCATCCCATCTATAGCAGTGTGTATTATTCATTATATATAGTTATATATATATAAACTATATATATATGCTTTGATATGGTTTGTTTGTTTCAGGACTATTCAGGATATGTTTGTTGTCGTTTTTCCCAAACCACTGCAACAGAATGAATTGCGGTGTTCATCCACTTTTGACAAACACGGCAGTGCAACGGTGAGGTGATGATACCATCGTGAACACATGAGAATCCACTAGGTGGAGAACTGCAAGCGAACAGTCCAGGATGTATGTTCAGTGATGAGTCAAGGCTCAACATGTTGTCTAATCCTTGTTTTGGTGGATGCTTTCCTATTTGTTGCGTTTCTTTTATTTTTATTTGTGTCCAAGTTGTGTTTATTCTCTTCGAGGATGCATAAGCCCCCTCTCAAGTTTGGAGTGCACCACCCCCTGATTCCCGGGCTCCACTTCTGAGTTGAGGCAACTTCCGCTTTAGTTTTTGTTTCAAACTGTTCCTATGTGAGTGATTTTGTTTGTTCTAATTGTTCTTTATGTTCCTTTCAATCATTGGTGTTCCATTTGGTCTAGTTTTGTTGGATCACACCCCGTTAGGCCGCTACGCCGCAGGAACCACGATGGACTACGTCGCTAGTAGAAATACGTACTCTTAATGGATGGTCCGCCTGGAGGCGCAGATGTGATCGTGGGAGGATCCAGGGAATGCTTCCGTAGGTGCCAGTGGAATGCCCTTCCCACGTCCGGACAGGCGATACAGCGGTACAGGAGGTGGTTGAGTGTGGCCCAATGACCCATGAACACTGAAGACTCTTAGAAGACCCATCTGGTCCTGACATATCCGGGTCCTTGCCCAAAGACCAAGGACCTGATCATTGATTTCAAAACCAGAGTGACCTTCGGCGAAAAGCTTGGGGGCCCGCAGGTCGCTATCTGGAGTTTCATTGCCAGATGACACCAGAAGTTTGTTCTCCCCTTTTTCGGATGACACCAGAGGATACAAACCGCACTGCGCACTGCGCAGGTTGAACGCACCCACGGCCGAAGCCAAACCCCCGGAGGACGAACGTCTGGGGTTTACAGCGAGGGCTGAACGGCGAAACACCCAGTGAGTGTCCCACGGGCATAGATGCTGGGAACGGATGCCAGGTGAGGTGAGTGTCCGGCATAAATATGCTTTGCTTGCTGGGCATGTGATTGCTCCAATTCTGAGATTCAGATCTGGGGAGACCCCGAGCAATCATTGGCTGTTGGTCTATTTTCCTTTGACGGTTGTTCGATGTACACACCCATATATGAAGTCGTTCGCTACTTTTTGCACAAAGTTCACTCTGACTTGGGCCGTAGAGCACCGTCCACTTGAGGTCGCTTGTGCTTGAGCTTGTTCTGAAAACAAGTGGACTAAAAAGATGATGGACCGTATTGCAATGCTTCCATTTTTTGAACTTAATTTTCCCCAGATGAACTTGGATGCGTGGTTTGTCCTAAAGAACTTAACGCAATGCTTCCATTTTTTGAACTTAATTTTCCCCAGATGAACTTGGATGCGTGGTTTGTCCTAAAGAACTTAACGCGTCTTCACACATGGCCTCTTGAGATCGAGCGCACCGTCTCGCGCGTGCTGAGGGGCATGGCAGAGGTGTATTTCAATCCGGTGATGTGGTGCTCCTGCTGTTGCTGCTACCCATGTTTCTTGCAGAAGCTTGACGTCCGGACACCAAACGTGCGGCTCGAGGGGGGTCCCCCTCATACGATTCATAAGGCTATTCATACTACCGATGCAAGTATTATCCCTGTATCCCTTGGGCAAGCCGATGCGAACTGGTGTTGCTGGCGTGTGTATAACATGTGGTTGATCAGTCGACAAAGGGTCGTTCCTCGAGAGCTCGCAAAAGTACAATGGTTTTGTGTGTTTTTCTCGAAAGATTTGCCAAATAAATTAGACAGACATGTGGAAACCGAAGACTTCTAGGAATAGCGCTAGGAATAACGCCAGGCGAAAGTGCAACATGGAGTTCGCGAAAGATTCGCGAAAGTATTTTTCGAGAAGACTTGTAGTATTCAGTCACTTTGATCAACCACCATGTATATCATTGGGACATATTGGGACGATGGTTGAAAGCCACAATTCATTTATTGAACGGACATGCAGAACTCCAAGGGTCATACTAGTCCTTCTCGCCCAAAAGGAAACTGATGTGTTGCTCAAAGCCATGGCTTTGACAATGGCTGGCCCACCTCCCGATGATAAAATAGTTTGCATAGTTTCCAGGGCCGAGTAAACCTGACCTCCATTTGTTTAAAAGAAAGGTTGCAAGATTGCAAGAGTAACTCATATAAACCTCCATATTTTTGCGACAGCTGACATGGCTCCGATGTCGCCGAGGAAGAACATTGAGTGGGACGCGAGATCTCAACACCTGGCGTTGACCGTTGATGGCATCCGGTCGATTGGGCTGCACGTCGAGTGGACACGGTCGGTCCTCGGAGTTGGACCAAACGAAGCCCAGAGGGCCCAGAGGGCCCAGTACTGTTCTTGAAGGGAAGGATTCATTCGTTTTGGGTGATGCGAACGTGAGAATGTGGCGATATGTTAGACAGATTCTGACGAAGCGACATGGGATTGATCCTTGGATCTTGGCAACGTCCTCATGTCCTGTCCAACAAACCACTTTGCCGCCATCACTCTCACAGACTCGAGTCGCTCTCTCGGAGAAGACGAGTTCGCCACCGGTCGAGAGATGTGGCGATGCTCTAGGTATGTGAAAGAAAAGAGGAAAAGCTGCTGCGGACTGCCTTGTACAGACAGAGGCAGGGAAAGCAAGACGGTTCCCTACGACAAGATTACCGACTGCGACGTGCAGGAGACATGGTTCGAGCTTGTTCTGGCAGGGTTCACCATACTTCACCCATGGATATGTCTGGAAGATGGATGTGTTCATGCAATCCGGCTTTCGGATCCTACGGGCCGTGCACAGAACAAGCAGGGGTTTCCATCCTGCACCTTTGACCTGGACCAGGGATGAACTCGGACTTGCACACCTTGCACTGCCGGGTGAAAAGGGACCCCCTCAAAAAAGATGATTTGGAGCCACCTGGAAGAGAAGACCAATTTGTTGCAACCTCATAAGAGTGTTGAGATAAGTTGGGGAGAGGACTGGAGTCCAGACTTTGTCGAACGCCTGAAGCGTTCGAAAAGCGCTTTGTGGCTTTTGGCGGCCACACGCACTTTGGGGCTTTTGGCGGTTTGAATTCAAGTAGAATTCATGTTAATTTTGATGTTTGGCATGTTCTTCGTAGGGTTGAGGTGCCACCTTCACCACAGGAGCCAGCTGGCACTGCATGCTGCTGTTGCATCCAGACGCTCGACTTGGTCAGTCAAAAAACTGGACAAATCCGAGGTGTGTGAGGCCCACTTGCTTGCGGAAGGTTGGAGGACAGGTGTGTTTGGAGAACTTGAGACCACCACCATAGGATCAAATGGACAAAAAAAGGCGTTTGTACCCGAAACAGCCAAATGAGTCAAATCAACAATCAAAGCAACTTTTAGCCAGTTCTGGCTTAAGAATAAAACCGCGCTGTACTCATATATTGGAAGCTAAACCATACTGAAACCATGTCAAACCTACGTGAGCAACCACTTTTATTTGATTAGTCTACGGATGTCTACGGCATGCTCTATTCGTTCGTCCAACATCAGTATTCGCTGGAAAACAAGGTAGGGTCCCCAAATAAACGAGATGTTCTTTTTATGTTTTTTTTTTGATGACGGCGATTTCGTGTGATTTGCTACTAAAGTAGTCTCAACGAAATACAGTATGTGACATGACCTTCTACTGTACTGAAGTCTAAACGAGATAGGCCCCCCTCATATTTTAAATATACTAGTAGTGCAATTGAGTTTAACTTTAAAATATCACCGCTCACGTGTTGAAAAGTGTAATATGCCCTCCCTCAAGACTTGGTTGCGGCGCCCGCCCGGTTGCGGCGCCCGTGGAGTGCCGGGACAGGACATGCGTTCTTTCTGTGGATCGAGTGAACAACAGTCGCAGCATCTCCGAAACCTGCAGGTCCTACTTTGCTGGCCATGGTAATTAAAAGGCTGGTCAGGTTGTTTTCGCGGGAGGGAAACGCGATGTCCGCAAAATCAGAAGTCATATTTCTGCAGCAGCTCCCTTTCCCAAACCAGGCCCCAAGCTTTTTGCCGCGTCGCCCGCGACACCCAAAGGAACGACGGCACATCACGGAGTACATGACTTCGAGCAAAGCACATACTAGGTCCTAGGTGCAACGAACGCTATTATCCCCCACCCCACCCCACAGATGACGTAGCATTTGCCTTGCGTAGCATTAGGAAGCGCGGACAGTAAAGTGGTGGACGTTTTTGGTCGCTCGACCAGCAACAGGCGCTGTTGCCCATTTGGGGATCAAGTCCCCAGTCCCCAGTCGACTGCTTCCCCCCATGGTTATATATATATATATACACCACTTGGGAAGACTGAGCCAGGAGTTTGGATAGTGAACTTGGTCAACCCATCCGGTGGTGCGAAGAATCCCACAGGGTGACATCGACTCGAGACTCCACTCGAGACGAGTCAGTCGGTGAACTGATCGAGTCGAGCAGGGAATTGGGATGAAAAGGTGCCCGGTGCCGGCAGATTTCTGAGACAGATCCGCTTCAAAACTGCACATGCTGTCAAGGTCAAGCGTAAGTTGTTACAGTGCTGTGTATGGGGTATCACATGATGGGTGCAAAAGGAGTGGAGTTCAATGAACTCAGACACTTAAGGAATGTGCTGTCCGTCGTCAATATCGACACTGCCTCAAGCGGTGTGGGTGGCAACTTTGCTCCTTGGCATCGATTAAACATTGCTGCAGTTGAAAGGGTGTTCATCCCCCAACCAATCATACATGGCCCCCATGCATACATGGCGCTTTCATGCACAGTAGCTGTACTCATCATGTGGAGGACGATGACACTTGATATCTCCACCATGTTTTCCACAACGTCTTCATTTGGATGTTTCAGCCAGTCCCTACCTCTGAAATACAATGGCTATAGGACCTTGGTGACATCGCCTCTCGTTATGGCTCCATAAAGTCGCATAAAGTCGAAAAGAGCCCACAGGTGAACGTCTTTTTGGTACATGATTTTTTCCGGCTGCAAATAAAGGGCCCCAATGAGCTGGATAGCAACGCATCAGCCTTTGACTTCAGCTCAACATATTAAGGTGCTGCACGAGATGAGCTTGCAGGGTCTGGCAGATCCACATGCGTTCAAGCACTCTGTGACCTGGTGTGACGATGGTGCCAACGGAGAAATGTGTGAGAGCAGGGGGAGCAGCTGCTCCTATTTGGGAGTGTGTAAGAATGGAAGGTGTTTGGAAACTATATTGTAGGAATCAGTGTTTTGCCATGTTTATCCATTCTACTGTAAATAAATACAATATACACATGGAGAATCCAAGGCAATTCCAACACCCTCAAAGGTGCCCACAATGTGGAACAACCAAGACAACTCAATACATGTGCGAGTATAACAACCTAGAAATAACTTGTGTGACCAATTGTGACTATTATTAGTCATTCGTCCCGATGAGTCCTAGTGTTTTCGGATTTCCAATATTCCATTTGTATACTGCAGGATCACTACAGATGCAGTATTCTACACTGCATACTTATGAGGATTCAGAAAAAAATAGGGGTGAGACCCCAGGGCGAGGGGGGGGGCAGGGCGGCCACAAAAAGCTGGGTTTTGTGAAGGTGGTGGGCCCTCAGATGGACCACTAGACTGGGCCCGGTGGATCCGACCAAAACCGATCTTGGGATCCAACCCATCAGTGACTGCTACTGACGAAGTGTTTCCTGGCTTTTTGAAGCTGTGAGTCTTTCTTCATTCTCTCCAGAGGTATTCCGGTATCTCTTTCATGATTTGGCATTTCTTGATACACTCACGTATTCACATGTATGCTATATGTAAAACCATGTAAAACCAATTCAGCGTTGTGCCTCAGTCTGGCCGTGACATATTTGACAGACAACACCTCTCACTAGGGTGAACCAGGGTATTTGGCGACAACTTCCACACAGCAGCTTTTGTTTCAGTGGACACATGTTTTTTGCTGTAGGCGACTTAACAGGAGAGCCAGATTGTTTGGATGGTTTTTGTGGTTCCTTTGGGGGGCGTTTGTGTTTGTTCATGTTTGTTCAGCGATTTTAAACACAACACTTCTAAAGGAATGCGTCTCCTCCACTCTCGTTCGAGTGGGCTCGCGAGGTTTGGGCCATGAAGCGGCGTTTGGCACCCAGCGGTGCCCAGCCCACACAAATGGGAAAGTCACTGAGTTCGCCTTGCCAGATGGAGATGCACAACGTTTTGCTGACAGACGCTTGGTAGGGGCAGGATGACCACGACTGGTTGGACTGTGTGTACCGGGGTTAAGTCGTTTGGTCTTGTAGTAAGTCGTTTGGAAGACGCATGGCCTTTCAGTATTTGTGTCTCGATGGACTTTATTAACTTTATTGAACCTTGTTAGCCCTGCAACATGTATAGATAAGCCAATGATTTTTCCTTATGTGAACAGGCATAGGTTTCGTTGTGGTAGAACGCAACCTTTGTTCATGCAACTGTAACATATTTTAACAGCAATGGTTAACCTAAAAGTTTTCCTAAATGTATATACGCAATAATATATTATAGATAAATATATAGATATGTGCTAATCATGATACACATGACACATATGACATGACAGAATTTAATGTAATATGAAGGACAAATGACTTCATAATTAACACGACCTGGAGTAAGCGTGGCCATGGTGATTCAACACCCGACTAACAAGAAGTCAACAAAAGAATCGTTGGTTCCCAGCATGTCAAGTTTCAAGCACTAGGTTGGAGGCCATCGCTATCAGCCTCGAGGCCATCGCTATTAGGTTGAAGGCGATCGCCGGGTGACTTTTCCGCGAGTCGGGTGACGGCACTGCGACCCCCGGCGTCATCCGGCACTGCGGCTGGGACCTGGAAGAACATGGACCCAACTGGGTTGCATTCGAGGTTCCTTCCTTACCCAAAGCCATGCAATGTCTCAAATTGCCTCTCTAGCAGGTCAGAAGGTTGTTGAACTCACAGCTGCTACTGCTGCAGCTCAGGAGATCAGAGATGAACTAAAGCTTCTGAACCAGAAGATGGATTGCAGATGAGCAGGGCTTTGGGCTGCTTTGCATTGCTTTGCATGGCCACTGACAAATGAATTGCTTAGAAGAGATGGTTTCACAGGGGGCGGGGTTTAACCAACCCAGTGCTCTAAACGTAATTGCTTAGACCTCTTGTTGTGATATATGCGGGCAGAGCAGCTTGATTGTCAATGACTGGAGTCAATTTTGTCGATACGAGGCTTTTTTGGGCAAAGCTCAAATCATTTAAAGCCTTGAAGTCTTTCCATCCGGCTCTTTCTGTAAAGCTGGACGAACCTGGCTAAGAGCAGTTGATAGTGATAGAATCTTAGTTCAGCTCGGCTGAACCTTGCTCCACCAGGTGTCGTGCTTCAAACGCCCTCGGGTGACAGATTGGAGCCTCCGTCCGATAGCCGGTGGAGAGAACTTTGCGAAGTCGAAGCCCGATCCCTCCCCACCCTGTGCAGTGAACCTGGGGGGTGGTGGGCAAATGATTGGTGTTTAGCCATGCCCCAAAAAGGACAGACTGACCTTGTGGGACACCCTCGCAGGTCAGTGGTTTGTACCAGCCATGCCTTTCAGAGATGTCCATCTGCGGAACTGAGGAAAATGTAAGCTGGAAAGACTAGAGGCTAGAGTCTCTTTGACTAGATGGAAGATGCAGCTTTGATCATTTGTGCAAGATCTATGCAAAACTGTTGTGATGCGGGTGTGTATTTTACTTGGGGACCCCCTGGCCCAATGGGCATAGCCAGGAGGTCTCCCTGTTTTAATACACATGACACTACAGATGATACATCTACAACTAAGACTAAGATCAACAAAGCTTCTGCAAACGACCACAGGTCCTACCGGGCAGCCCCCAGGCGCCGCGGCCGCGGGGGCCAGCGGGCCATGGAACGTATCATAACATATCCGACCCAATGCAACCAAGTGTGAGTTGAAGGAACTCACCAAACAGCACTTGTAATTATTTTTGATGTGGAACACTTGGTTTGTTTGCTGTTTCTTTTGGTAAGACGGTAAGACATATTTATATAGGCTTGGCTGGTAGGAAATGTCGAGGGTCATCATCGCAACATGAGAGGCCTTGGCCAGGAACCCAAAACAACATGAGTTGATACCAACGGACTCACACTTCTGGATTCGTTGAGTAGACAGCATGAAACATCAACATGAGAGATTATCTTTTTACGTTGCCGAACAACAGCAGTGCTGTCCTTGCCCTTTTCTGGTCCACTTGAGTCTATGAGGTGGTGGAATCAAAGACTCCCGACCACGCCAATCACTTAGCTTTTGCTGCAAAGTGGTCGGCACATGTCGAAGTTTGTCGTCGGTTTCTTGAGGAAGCCGCAGAGCCCTCTTCATGCAGCACTGATGTGTTTTTTTGAGTGCTACCTGCCACATGCAACGGACTTCCAGCCCCAATACTTGAAGAGCACGACGTGGACGATGACAACGATAGACTCCCAGCGGTGGAAATTGGCATGGTTTTGAAGGGTTCAGTATTGCTCAGTTGCTACGGGCAGGGTATTTTTGGACCACGTCAAGCACACGGACAGCAAAAAACGCGAAACCTCCAAGAAATCATGAACGAATAGTCAGTTTTGTTTAAGATAGATCCAGAGTCCAAAGGATGTTTTTACGCATTGACCAGTCCTTTGTTTCTTTGGATTGCATGGACCATCACAGGGCGTCAACGAGGAAAAACCCACCCATGACCGACCCGGTGTCCCGCCCACCTGACGCGTCGTTTGAGGCGAATCGCTTCGGGAAGTCGAGCCAGGGCCCCGGATCGACCGTTTCACCGTTTTGCCCCGTGGAGGTTCCAACATGTTTCCGAAAAAGAAGGTCTGGCGAGCGTGTGAGAGTACAGTGATCAATCTCAGAGTTTTCTCATGTTTGATCGAGACGAAATCTGGCGAAATCGCTGAAACGCGATCTTTCCCCTCGGAGGGATTCCCAAGATGAAATCTCTCCTGAGGAGAAATCCCAAAATGATTAAACTTCTCCGTGAGGAGAAGACTTGATCAGGAAGGACTTATATATATATTATATATAGTATGTTTTTCGAACTGGGGGTTGACCAAAGGATTGTTTTGGGGGGCTTATGAATAGAGGTTTTATGGCGAAACCTTTTGGAGAGCTTGAAACAACACTTCTTGGATTTGGCAGTGACAACTCCTTTGGCGGTGACCAACTTGTCCCATGACCCACCACTTGACCCAGGCCAGGGGTCCACTCGACTCAATTGAAAGATTCATCCCCGGTATGGATGTCCTTTTTGTTGAATCCTTTTTCAATTTTTTCCTGTTTCATTGATACACAGTAATTGACAATCACAAGCACTGGCATGCTGCAGATTGAAACGATGGCAGTTGATTCCTTGCCTCACAATCGCTGAGGATGGAGCTTCCTTTCTGAGCGAAGCATTTGATGGGACTGGCCTAAGGGTAGAACAAACATCAACAAACAGAACATTCCCTATACAGTATACACATGGAGGGTCTCGCCCGTTTTTAACGACATGTCGAAGAGTTCTTGTTTTCTTGAATCACATCTTGTAAGTCATTTGGTTCCAGAGGTGCGAGACCGTGCCATGTTTCCAGGCAGTAGGAGCAATGAGGACTCTGTTAGATTGGCGACTCACCGACCGTTCGTCCCATGTTGCCGCGCGGCCCGGGTCGCGTCCCGCGATGGTGGCTTCGGCCAAAGATGTGACTCCACTAGAAGTCCGGGGACTTGGACAGAAGATCAGAGGAATGTAATTAGGATATTAGATGTCTATAGATTTGATGGTGGCACCAATTCCAATAGATCCAATTTAGAAAACGAAGCAAGTTGATAGTGTCGTTTTGTTTACTTGAGGGGGCCATTTGGGTGAGGAGAGTAGCTCAGGGCAGACGGACTCCGCATGTCGAACCGCCCTTGGAGTGAAGATCTCGTTCGAATCTAACAACAATCTGGTCATGTGCATGGGATTTTTGTTGAAAGTCTTGGAGTTGGCTTGAAAGCTGTGTGGCAGGCTCCGTATGAATTCTGGTGCCCCCAGACGACACATTGTAGGAGTGCAAGTGCCACCAGGGATTCTCCAATAGCACTAGCACAGGTCTTAGTCTTCTGCCAGCTGCCATCGCCTTCGAGGCAACTTGAGACATCTTGAGACCATGCACCCGCAAGAAAGCATTGTGCTTGTGCGTTCCTTGCTTGTGGCTCAAAGGCAGTAATTTGCCAATTTGTAAGCGAGAGCCGCAGAAGCTGGAGACCTGTCTATAGAAGTCTTCTGAAAGGCCTTTGTACAACGCCTGAGCTGCTCGAACAAAGAATTGCACCATCCCAATGATCATGTCATGGTTCCAAACATCACAACGTGCTGGCCATAGATTGAATCCTTGCCATGGCCTTCAGCCTTTGCGCCCTTGCAGCGAGCAAGGGCGTCGATCACTTTGGACAACTCGGTAGCGCAGGGTGATGAGGAGATACGGCCAAGAAGATCTCTGAGCCTGGGGAGTCCCCAGTGATGGCTGAACTGATGATGCCCTCTTGACACCTCGGCTGGACCGTATTGATCACATGCCTTGACACCCAGGCCGGGCCAGACTGAAATTCAAGGCTCAGGTGTTATGTGTTTCTATGCCTCGTGATCAGGTGTCAGCTCCTACCCTTCCTTTGGAGGTATGGTAGAAGGAAAGAAGTGGCGTTTGCTCTTTCCCTGATGCGTCCGAACGGTTTGATTCTTGATCATTTTGGGGGATTGGTCATGAGTGAAAACTATGCTTGTCATTTGCTTCTCAAAGTGTTCCTGGAAGACCAACCACGGTCGCTCGCCATTGTTTCGGACCCCCCGAACCCGTGGGATCGGCCGGATGACCCGACGAAAGGCGGACCGAAGGAGCACCGCAAAGCAGGGCATATGGGGTGCCAGACCTCAGTCACCCAACTAGCGCAAAATCGATACACTCCCTCCAACGGCCTCATGGAAGTGGACAACAGCCTCCTGGAATACGATTGTTCCTCAACAAAACAGGGGGTTGTCCACTTCCATCATTGTTTCAAGGGAGTGTAACTATTCATTGGTTTTCCAAGACCTTTGCCTACCTCAGTAGTTTGGAGTGGACTCTGACCCCATGCAGTTCGAAGGACAGCGGACCGCAGATAGAGGTTTTCAATAAGAGAATGCTACTGCTGCTACTGCAAACTCCATTGGTTTCCGCACGGTTTTTTTCAAGTCTTTATACATCTTTCTACTATGGTCGTGAGTTCACATGCCCTGCCTGTGAGGATTCTCTTTTTGGAGGGGTGTTTGCCACGTTGTTTCAGGTAATTTGGACCCCTTCTCGTGCCCATGTAGAGGCCGCCCCTGGAGATGGCAGCCATGACGGATTTTGGCACTTGGGCAGCATGTGAGTGCATGCCCCTGTCAGCCAAACCCAGCCCAGTAGGGAATGGATGGGGTCGATGGAGTGGACTGCTCGGTCTCCCTGCTATGACCTGAGTTGGGGCTCATGGACTGGCTGTGCTCACATGATTCTAGGTTAGGTTCTCCAATCTGGTGAAACATCAAACCAGAAATCGTCTATCCTTGGCTGTGGCTGAGGATAGGGGGCCATCCAAAATCACTGAAAAAAGGACACCTACTGTAATCTACTGCATATAATTCCCAAAACCTGTGGAAAACCAGATCGCACTTCGTGGGCCGCATCCAACGGTTACCAGGGACCAGGGTGGCTTGGCCACGGCTGACCTCACCTTGAAGGTGGGTCACTAGGCCTCCCTCGTCAAAAGAAACATATATCATATATGCAAAGGGTCCCAGCCCATTAGGATCTATACTTTGGTTGCCAACATTCCGAATTCCCCAACCTCAAGATGATTCTGCACAAGTGTGTTAATTATGGTTTCTGTCACTTTTCGTTCGTAGACCATCAGAGAGACGTTTCTATCAATGCTGGATTCTGCCTGATCACCGGCTCACCGCGAGGCCTGATCACCTGGATTTTGCGAAGGCATTTGGAGTGCGCTTCGACCGATCTCAGCGGATCGATCGAGGGTTTGGAGTCAACGTGTGCAGATTCGCGTTCGATTCCTGGCCCTGAGGTTGGGCTTGTGCTTTGACAGAGCGGGTTCAGGACGCGACAGTAAATTAACTTGCAATGTTTTGCAATCAGTAGGCCGTGGCACGGTAAGCCCTTTTTGCAGTACTCTTTGACTATGAATCAAACCTGCACGGTTCGTGCCTTGGTACGGTTCGTGCCTTGGCACGGTCGCGTGCTGAAGCCTTCCGAATTGAAGTAGGTGGTTTCTTGATGCTAAAGTCTATGGCTTAAGAAGGCTACAGAGAAGACTCAAACTGTTTATTAAAGGCCGAGAAAACACTCAGTCGACTCAGTGGGGTGCAGTGGACTCTACGGGTCAGTGCTTTCGCCATCTCGCAGTGCCGGAGGGGGCTTGCTCGCGATGCCAGAGCACGCCAGTGGTGTGCTGAAGACGCCAGTGCAACCTTAGCCACTATCCCTAGGGATCCAAGTACCTTCGAAGGTACAACTGGACCCTCCAAACCTGCATGGCCAATAGCGGTGTCTCCAATCACCTGAGTTGAAGTCGAGCGAGCTCGCTGTGCTCGACCGCATGCTCTTCGCCTGACCGCCGTGATGCCGTGGTTCGGTGCGACCGTCCGCCGTCACTCCGCAAGGATCGTGATGCCGTTGGGTCCTCCGTGTGCATGTTTCGTGGTTCGGTGCGACGCTTCAACTCGGTGTACCCAAAAACATGCTTTGTCTTGGAGTGTGAACATAGCTGGTATAGAGATGGTTTCAGACCATCATTGATCTCCACGTGTTGATGGTGCATGGTCAAGTTCGACGTCGATGGCCTCATACGTACAAGTTGACAAGGAGTGGTTGTGCGCGTCCGGCGAGTAACTGTCCAGGTGTAGTGCGTGTCCGACTAGCAAGGGCCAGGTGCAAGAAACATTGCATTCGACACACCGAACATCCTAGGAATCGATTGTTTTTATTTGATCGAACATTAAAAGTACTTCAACAGCTAATTAGTTAAATCTGGAAAGACGTTGATATTACACAGGAGAAAGTTCATTTTCCTACTAATAGTTCAGTAGGAAGTTCATCATGGTACAGGAGACAGTTGGAATTGAAACTAGGTTGACAGTAGTCTATAATTGTATGTCATTGGCACTCACAAGGCGTACTCTTTGCCAAGACTTGTTTGATTTTGAAGGAATGAATCATGTTATAAATTTGTTGAGTTTTGATTTGTTGAAACAATCTAACTGCTTAGTTTTTAGTGTTAGTAAAGTAGTTAGTTACCTATATGTGTAAGGGGTCTGTGGTAGGTTCATGGTTTACTGTTTTAGGGGAGTAAGTCAGGCTTATTGTCGATGCTTACAAATTAATTACGCCACATGAACTCAAAAGCAGGTTTATTGTTGTAGAGCAGACAGTCAAGTTTATTATTGCAACCTATTAGAAAAGCAGGTGTTCTATTGTAGAGGAGTAAGTCAAGTTTATCATTGCATTGACAGTATTTACATATGGTCTAAAATTGACAGTATGACGCTGTCCCGGTTCTGCTCACACTTGGCTTAGGTTCATCATCCTTTACCGGGGTCAGCGGATTTGTACTTCCTATTGTTGTCCATGTGTTGCGTGTGTCTCGTGAAAACATGTGAAAACCAAAACCTATTATTCTTGATAACAAGAGCACATTTAGATGAATTGAGCTGTGTTTTGTTACACGCTGGCACAAACTGTTTAAGATGTTAAGATGCCGGTTCTTAGAGGCAATAGGAGGCCGGTTCTTGGAGGCAAGTTGCCATGCTTCAGTGTTTATTTGCGGAGACCAGGACAGGAAAACCATGGAAAACCAGGTTGCTTTGGTTTGCGATCCCTTTGCAGTAGCAGACTTCAGAAGCGGTTTCAGGGTCTTGCACAAGGATTTGCAAATCTCACACCACCTGGACGGCAAAAATCAGGTAAGTGAGTGCACGTTGGAGTCCTATCAACCATCGTGCAATGATCCACACTTTGGGAAGGTGCTGGGGGGGGTATCGGGTGTGGAGTTTCATTTAGTTGGGAATCCATGTGTGATGCACCCTGTGACTTGACTGATTTTTTTAACCAAACACTAACATTGACTGAGGCGACTAGGTGTCGTATTGAGACATTGGCACTGACCCAAAAGTTGAACAAGTGACCACGTACACGGGACAACAAAACATCGAATCTGTCCCTATGACCCCGCAGCCAGGGATCACTGCAGCACATTTTGGACGTTTGCATTCTTCCCACGAGACATTCCTCAAATTTCTCTATAAGAGTTCACTAGTGATTTCACTGCTTGCATTTGCCGGCCCACAAACGCGGATCGCCGTTTCTTTCTTGAGATACATAGACTCGATAGACCCGTTCGGAACCCGGCGCAGGAGCATCTGGAAGCGAGCCGAGCATCTTCGCCAGCCATTCCAGCCATATTGGACCAGCACAGTATTGGTTCGTCTGACCAGCACGCTGCTTCGAACCGCGGGGATCGGACATCGGACATGCGAAAAGCAAGGGACCAGTGCAGCTTCGCCCGGTCGTCCAAAACCGAACGGGTGTTCCCTGCGAGACCTGAGAGACTTGAGAGACCGAGCTAGGGAGATGGCAGCCAGTTTCCTAAGCGATGAAAGGTGGCCTCCGCGAATCTTATTTGGCTCATGGCTTCCCGAAATAGAGTTCTGGCGCAGAGCACCTTGTGGCATTTTCACCCGGTAAAAATGCAGAAGGCCTTGCAGTCTTCACTTGGATATGCTTCCAACATGTTCCAACAAGTTCCATGGGTCAAACACGTGTTACAGGAACATGTGGAGGAACATCCGGCTTGGACCTGGGAGTCTCATCTTCAGCACCCATTGGCCTTTATCGCACCGTCCAAGTCCTGCAGCCCAAAAGCACAGATCCATGCAGAGTATGTAGGTGATACCAGGCAGGTGGTCAAGACACGGCGAATCCAAAGGCAGGTTCTCAGAAGAAATGGTATGATCTGGTATGGTTCACTGACCAAGTGCACGTTTCCCAGACCCACTTAAGGTTTCAACGAAAGACCCCAACCCAAACACACAGCTTCTGAAGGCCAGTCCATGTAGGCCTTCCCCGGATCCGGGTGGAAGGAGCAAGCGAAGGCAGAGGCGTTTATCAAGAGGTATGCAGTCAGCAGAGGCGGAAGACTCATCCTGATCATTCAAGAGCATGCGCTACTAGTTTGCGAAGATTTATGCTTGCTCTTACCTGTTATTTGTTGCCATCAAAGATCCAAAACGCCAGGTGGGAGTGGCACTTGGGGGAGCTGCATGTTTGATGGTTTGCCCAATGTTCTTTGCATGATGCAGTCAGTTCTAGTTTCAGGTCGCATTGTCACTGTCTCCCTAACTTTACAGCATGAAGCGGCTTGGGACAGAATACTGAGTTGACCGTAGATGTGTGGCGAGAGTGCAGCAAGTACAAGCGCATGAATGGCCGAAAAGTTGAAATTCTGGGCACCGTGGCGGGACAACTTGTGGAAGGAAAGCTTCATGCCAGCAGAGCGACTGCGTATCGACTGGCTCTCACTTGCTGTTATACGCTCACACTTGTGTCAAGCGATGATTGATTTGTGTCCGCCACCCATGTAAGATGACTTGAGAATCACTCGTGAACATTGAACATGGCACTAAATACTGTCGAATTCTCATGCTTGGGCGACCCCAAGAACATCTCCAAACATGAATTTAAGTTCGCATATCTTGGAGCAACGTGAATGAACGCATTCCTTGGCAACCACCTCCATTTCACTGTTCATTGTTACTACACATAAAGGTACGGGACCTGCCACAGAACGATGAAGCTTCTGACACTACGTTTTGAAGCCGTAGGCTGGCCTTGCATAGCTGAGTTTAATTCTTCGATCCAGCACTGCAGGGCAGCTGAGCAGCTTCTGAGCAGCTCCTTTTGCTCCTTTTGCCGCGGTGTTCCACTGAGATGCTGGAATCCTTCGGCTTTGCTTATACTTGGGGGTCCTCTAAAAGTCCTTTAGTTTCTTTACAGTGCATGCCACTTCAACACACACACACAGCGTTTGGTCGCCAGAGTTTTAGGTGTCTCACCAGACTGACTAAATATGTCACGAAATGCCATGCAAAGACACCTTAAGTGTGGTGGCCATGCTTTTAGGTGCTTTTAGGACATGATTTCACCAGGCCCGGGTCTTGTTTGCCACCTTTCACCCTTTGGAGGGTCAAACCTGCCACAAGGTTCTAAGTGGCCTCTAACTTGGTGCCAGATTTTGCATGAGGCTTGAATCACCAGAGTGATATGGCTTGTTGAGCCATCGATAAGACATCCACCAAATAGAATCGGCCGGCCCAGATCAGATCCTTGACCCTGCCATGCCAGACCGGTGAGCGCCTCGCCAGGTGGAGTGGAAGGCGTTGTTCTTTGTCCTGGCTGTGCACTGGAACGAACGAAACAACCACCCCTTTTCCGTTCACTGCCGCGGTGGGGTCCAGGCTTCAGAGGAATGCCTGGAATTGATGTAGTTTGATTCCTTACCCAGTTCTACTTCTTCACATCCATTGCCATGGTTCTTCGCAAGGTAGTCTTCCAGGAGCCCATTTTCAGGTGTTCCGACCGAAGATGGACATCGCGCCGAAATCGCGCGAGGGGCCTTTGCCAGGGCACTTGCAAAACAATAGCTGTCTTCCATGCGTGTATAGTTTCAGCTTAGATCACTGTAATCCAAGGTCGGGAATGAGATAAATCACTGTGCTGCCTTTTCATGAGCCAGGGGAACAGTGATTCTGAGGACGTGGCGCTATGGGCTTGATGGTGAGAGAAAGGACTTCATAGAAATGGCAAGTTGACTCAGAAGGCTCCGCCTCCAAATATACAGTACCTGTGTCGGTGTTTGATCCTGTCCAACTAGGGCCCTTTTCTTGGCAGCTTTGGGCGTTGGAATCTCCAAGTTCATGCCCCACTTCAGTGGCGTGGCTGAAGGTATTTCAATCCCTCCCTGCACTGGATCAGTCCCATCAACACTCAAACAGCTGCCACAGAGAGAGACACGCCTGTCCGGAAGGAGACGCTGAAGATGTGTCCGTTTGACAGCTTTGTGCAAGAGTTGGCTAGCTCTTGCAAAACATAAGGTCAAGTATATATATAATTTGTGATGACCACATCACAAGTTGCTTTAAGGTCAGGTAGTTTGTCATCACAGAAATACATAAATCAAGCAGAAGACTTGCAGAAAAGTCGAACCAGCTGGTGCCACCGGCGTTTGAATAGCGCGCACAACTGGCAAACTCGCTCTACCGCCACCGGCGCTAATGGCGCGGGAACGGGCCTGTGTGGAGTTTGGAGGCCACAGGTCTAAAACCCCTGGTCCTGTCATGGTTTGAGGAGGGGTTTCTTCATGGGTTTGCGGGTCCAGAAATTACACATACAGCATGGGTTCGCACCATCTGCAGTGGCAGCTGGTCTCAAGTTTGCTGACCGCAAGTGCCTCTCGATTGCACGCTCGATTGCAACTCGCCGGTCGAGGGCTTCATGAGGTCCAAGGCGCATCATGATTCGAAGAAGCCACGTTGCAGCACCTGAAGGTATATACGGTATATAATACGTATAGCTTTAATTAAACAAGCAAAGAGTACAGATCAAGTCAATAACTATGACCGTACTTCACGATGGCAATGCATCACGGAGTGAGTCATCATGATGAATCATGATGCATGACGTGGTAGATATGATTTAAACAGATGCAGACAAAGCAACTGTGGCATCACACGACGCATAGGACTGCTATCTTCATAGGCAGGTTTTAGCTCCTCGCAGTCCGCATCACAAAGACAAAGTCAGCAACTTCAACGTCAATTCGACTGTTAGTTCACTTGAAGAGGTCCCTGCTTGAAGAGGTCAACGCCTAATGAGTGAACATGAGTTTCAGCAGGTCAGCTGCCGGTTCTGGGTGCTTGTTCTTTTCGGCAGACCTTAGGCATGCGGTGGCCACACAGGGTTTGTGGTCTCAGGATGTGGAGATGACTATTCCTGCAGTGTCGCTAGTGCCCCCAAGACTCGGCAAACAAACAGCCGCCTTGAGCATTGCAAGCAGGTTGGTGGAATGGTCCCAGTTCAAGTTGTCTTTGAGGTTGGTGGCAGGCAGCAGGCGTTTGCTGTTCGACGAAATGTTGCCAAACAACCAGCAGAGCTATGGGACACTCACCCTGAATGTGCAGCCACGCCTCATCGAACCTAGCATTTTCAAACTGTTAGTTCACTTCAAGACAAAGCTTTGCTTGAGCAGCACCCTGCCTACCCCCAACAAGTGAAAGGTGTTGGCTCGTAGCTGCTTGTTGGTCACTCGCTATGTTCCTTTCAGCAGACCCTAGGCATGCGGTTGCCACACAGACTTTGTGGTTTGAGGATGTGGGAATGACCATTTCTGCAGTCCTGCTTGAGGCTCGGCAAACAAACAGCCACAGCTTTGACTTGGGCATGGTGAAGCGATGGTGGAGCTGTCCAAGTTGTCTTTGAGGTTGGTGCCATGCGTTTGCCTTTCAGGAAGAGATTGCCAAACAACTAGTAGAGCTACGTCTATGTGGAACTGCAGGGCCCAGACAAGGTGATTTCTGCAGAATTCGGGCGAGACGCTGGCAGACACTTTCTGGACACGGCCATGCGGACGGATGTTCCTTAATACTTACCAGAAAGCTCCAGATCACTTACGCTGTTGATCCATTGCAACAGAAGTGTGGAGTATGGAATCAAGCTCAACTCAAATGTAAGTATTTTATTGTGAGTAGTTCCATGGCTACCCTTTGAGTAGTTCCATGGCTACCCTTCATTACCAGGATTTGTGGCCTTGTGCCGCGGTGACATTCATGCTCTGACCCAGCTCAGCTGGTCCCAAGTGGCCGTTGATGTCGCTTTGTCAAACCAAACGCAGAACATCTGACGGACACTGGCCCATTAAACGCCCAGGATTTGGCTACACCAGTTCTGTTAATGTGTTATGACCTGGTAGCTTCGCTTCGCGGCCGAAGCTCGCTTCGCGGCTGCCGCGGCTGCCAGACGCTCTCTCTTTTGCTTCTGCACCGGGGGCATCCCCACGGGTGGAGACCCTGGAAGGCGTGGCGAGATGGGGGTCCCAAAGTCGATGGCAGAACGAGCGCGCTTTTCAAAGCGCGGGTTGCGCATGAGTGCGCTTGAACGTCGGGTTGAAGTTCATTCGAATGAATTAGATCAGGGGTTCCTTGGGGCTGATGAGGGCGAGGTCCCACTGTACATCCCAGAAGCTGTCGGCTTGCGGACAGATTGAGCTAGCTTGCTAGCTAGCTTGCTAGCTTTGCAAGTCAATGTCCTTCCACCAACAGTCACTCGGCCAAAATGTTGTTGACATTTCCTGCAGTGACCAAGACAAATCAAATCCTGCATGCTTGTAGAACCTTACAACAATAATATCATTCTTTTGACTTGACCGTGTCAAATGTGCAAAAAATGCAAAAAGGAAACTTCTGGCGATTGGCCAGCGAAATCGCCAAGCACGAGTTGGACCACCTGTTCCGACCCAGAAATGACCAAGACCTGAACGCCCCATGACGCGCAAGACCTGAACGCCCCATGACGATTCCTTCGTCCGAACGATGAGTGCGACCCTTAGTTCGACCCAATGGCTGCCCATTTGTGAGAGGTCCATTTAAGTCTGGGATCCATCCGCCACTTTGTTTCACATCCGTGGATCATATCCATCCGCACTGCAACACAGTCTCGTCTCCTGAGATTATCTTCAACGGGGATCTCAAACTGAAAAAAAACAGAGTTCTTTCATCCTAAATCGTCAAACCGAAACTGAGAAGTGAATGACTTGACCGCCCCGTTCGTAATTGCTTCCATGGTCAGCTGTAAATGCAAGCCTTGAGGTGCTGTTAAGTCGATTTGGCAGGTGACTCTTGTGGATGACGATCCGATCGATTGAGATGGAACCTGTAAACAGGAGGCAACCGAGTAGACAGCCGTAGAATAAGAAGATGCTAAAGGCAGCTTATGACTGCAGATGACTCTACTAGCTGACTTTCCCATGTGCATGTCAGAGTCAATGATCCTTCTGTGCTCTCAGGTGAAAGGTCCACCGTGTACGCACCTAGTACACCCTGTACCGTTTGTTGGATCCTTCTTCCATGACGGATTTGTTTGCTTCTTTGACCCTCGACTCTCCATGCGGTGTGCTTTCTTCTTTGAAGCCGTCGAATTGGCGGTTGGCCCCTCCTGAGCCTTGCATAAGTGGGTCAACATATGCGATTTGCAACGGCAAAGGAATCGAAGTCCGCCTCTTTGGAAGGATGAACAACTCGGCGTGTCCCATCTCGCGGATTTGGTGGTGGATCTCATGCGAATTGAACCCCCAGTTTCCGCCAGTTTCGGACACAGGTCCCAGCATTCTTAGCAGTGAGTGGCCACCTTCTTCTGAGATGCCAATTTAAACGCAGCTAAGATCTGTCAGAGGCGCAATTTTGATAGGTGATTGGACACTTTGGAACAGAAGCATTCTTGCTTTACTTGCCTGTTTGCAAGTGTTCTGTTGCGATTCACGTGACGGGTCATGTGAGGTGCTGATGTCTCGATATTTTCCAGAAAGCGGAGAGAAGGAGTTGTACCGGTACCACACGAGTTCGGCCATTTGAGAGACGAGTGCAGGTGTTTCCCTTCGTTGAGGTGCAGGATCGGTCCCTTCGTTTTCGGCACCGCAGTCTAAACTGAACCTATATGGATGATGCACCTCCGCTACGGGATTGAAAAGGCATGAAAAGGCAGCGAGACGTGAGACGTGGTGTAGATCTCTTTACGCTCGAAGGTAGGAGACCAGTGATGGGTGGTCAGTGGTCTATGAGGAGGCTTGACATCTACAACAGAACATTTCAGGGATTGTAAAGTGGGAGTCACCCCTGGTGTAGTGTAGAACATCTAGAATCCGGCATGTTCAACATAGAGACACAAGCTTCACCCGGATCATTGAAGATAAACACTCAAGGAACCGATTGGAACACCATTTTAATCGACCAGTTGACAAGTGGAGTGGCTTGGATTGTCGCTGTTTAGTGATGTGGATTTCAAGTGAATTGTGCCACGCGTACGTGTGGCACCACACAGCATGCAGCATGTTGAAAGCATTCAAGTTTTAGTAACAGTTGAACCGTTGTTCCAGGTGGATGTTTATGGCATCAAATATGGGGGTAGATGATAGACAGACAAGTTGTGTTAGGTTTTCTGAATCATGTGTTTTTGTTGGTACATAGGCTGCTGTTCCTCGTTGCAATCGCCTTGTGGAACATTTAGCCTGCTCTAGATTTGTATTGCTGGGTGCTGGTTCGTTGGATTAACTTCACCCTTACAAACGTGATTTGGCTAAATTTCATACTGCATCCTCACGCGGCGCTTTTTTCATACGCCATCTTGGATGTCGTTCTCCGCAATCATGTTGCGTTCGACACTCCGCCTGTTCTGTCGCGGCTCGGCGTTCGTTCGTTCTGTGTTCGTTCTGCTGGGCATTGGTCAGTCCTGGAGGGACTGTCGCGGCCTGACAGGTGGAGCCGTTAAACAGCTGCCGACGCTCCAACGGTTTTCCGCGTGAAAAACCGCGCGCCTTTCAGCACGGACAAGCGCTCGTTTGGAGCTCTGGTTCAAGGTAGGGTTTTTATTGTGCTTTCAATTGCCTTTCAGGAAGGGTTTGGCAAGGTTAGATTAGATGTTTCATATTTAGTTTCGGGCCGTTTGCACATTGTATGTTTTTTCCAAACTTAGTTTCGCTATGATTGTCCACTGCCTTTTTTCAAGGTAATCCTTGAAGGTATTGTTTCAATTGCTTTTGACCAAGTGTTTGCTAAATGTCGGTTTTGAGATACTGTAGCTTCAATTGTTTTTCACCAAGGACTTGCTACATCGATAGCTTTATTTTAGGCAATTGGTTTCTGTGTGTCTACCGCCTTTCAAAAGTAGAGCTTGGTGTACTGTAATGACAGTTCGCTGGAACATGATGTTTTTTGATCGCCTTGTAGCGAGTGTTTGATAAATGGTAATACGAATGGCCTCCACTCCAACCTAATAGCGATGGCCGATGGCCTCTAACCTAGTAGCGATGGCCTGCAACCTAATAGCGATGGCCTCCAACCTGGTAGCGATGGCCTCCAACCTAGTAGCGATGGCCTCCAACCTGGTAGCGATGGCCTTCAAACCTAATATCCATGGCCTCCAACCAATATAATATAGTAGTTTCATTCCTTCTCTTGATTTCACTTCCCATCGCTACCACCCTTCATCAAGCTTTTGCTCAATCAACCCTTTTAATCGCAAAGGCGGAAACAGCGGAGAAAGAGAAAGGCACCAAAAGCACTGAAAATGACATGAGTGACATAGTGACATTTACATGGGTCGTTCATGCGTTTGCCCTGGTCTCTCTGGTGCCAGAGAACCGAGGCGTCGATGGAACCATCTCAGCCCAGACCTGACAGGATTCACATCGCAAGAATTTGAGACAACGACTGTGGGTCGTTCTGCCCTGTGCCTCTCGTCCTCTGTTCGGCTTCGGTGCTGGAGCCGCCCTCGGTGGGTGGTGGGTTTAAGCGGTAAACGCCCAAGGGCTGCTGGCGGCATGTCCAAAACATTTGCTTTCATAAAATTAAGCACAAATTACTCCCCAAAACTGAGCCACTTCAGGAGTATTCTTCAAGATTCAATCAATAAAATAGAATTCCGGAACCAAATCCATTCTATTGAAGGAAACAAACAGGACAGGAAGCAAGGCAAAAATCGAAGGGTGCAACAAAAAAACAAGAAGTGAAAAGAACGGAACGGACGCAGACGAAGACAACAACAGACGCAGATGTGAAACGTTGCACAAAAGAAAATTTTCTGAGAAGCAGGGAAAGAGACAATGTTCAAGAAGAACAGTATAACATGAAATGGAATGAAATGGATGCGTATTCCACTCCCACAGAGCATTTGGAATAGTAACATTAGATCTTACTACCAGCAGGTAGGAAACAGGCCAACCAGAGCAGGAACGGAACCAGGTCGCGACTTTTCAGGGCACGCGACTTCTCTTTCGTTTCGACGGGGTTCGGCGTTTCTTTGCGGGGATTAAACATGTATGGGTGTGAGTATGGGTGTGTTTTAATCGGGAGACACCCAACCAGTGGGTTTTGGGCCTTTGCGGTTTCATGCAGTCGACGACGTGCAGTGGCCCCCCCAGCATAGCGTCAGGTGAACGCACTCGGTCAAACAGAAGACCCATCAGGGCAGCCAAGTACCTTTCACGCTTAAAGTGGAGCGGCACCCCGTGAAGGAAATCCCAAAGTGACTTTGCAACCTCATCATGATTCGGAAGCTGCAAAACTTTCATGAAGGACACCGTTGGATTATGAAAACCCAACTTCTTCAAAGGTCCCCTATAGAGAAGTGTAGATCCCAACCACTTAAAGAACTGAAAAACGATTCGAAACTGAGATCTCAAATCTGAACGGACCAAGTCAGCGCGAATCGATTCATCATGCATGACATAAGCACTACGCCAAGACTTTGTCTTCTTCTTCCCTCTGTCGTAAACAGGAGTCATGTGCCGCGTCGCCAAGATGACAAGGCAATGTACACTTCCAACATCTTCCAACAAACTAACTTCCCCATCTGTGTCCAGCCACGGGACCGTCCGAAACCAGTCCAAAAACAACTTGGTGAATCGCCTGAATCGCTCACCAAAAGGAACATCCACCTGTTTGTCCAAAAAAAAGCAGGAAAAAAAGCAACTACAAAAAGCAAGAGCAAAAAACAAATCCAAAAAGCGAAAAAAACAAATGAACAAGCAAAAGCAAAAAAAGAAAAATCCAAAAAGCAACACAACCCTCAAATTAAGAAGCCCAAAAAAAATAAACAAAACACATTAAAAGCCAAAAAAAGCGACTACAA